AGTGAGGATGTGGTGGCACTTATCTCCTTGCGTTTCCCAAAAGGTTGAATGTTAATATCTAGTTACAGAACTGAACCATATGTTTTCCCACCAGTTTCGTCCAAATGTTTCTGATTTGTTTTATCGCTATTAGGTGACATTCCAAATATCAGTGCTAACTGCTTCCTTCTGTGGTTTAGCACCATGAGAAAATTATAACTCGTTCCCTAGTCAAAATGTCTAGCATTTGCAGCAAACATGTATTTCTAATTAAGCATATTCCTAAGAAAATACTTTTCTCTCAAAGAGGAGGAATATTTGAATGCTATTGCCACACTGTATGACTTTATTTCAGTTGTGAAATACTTAGATATTAAAAGTGAAGATTTGCATTAGTATTCTGAATGTGTTTTCTCATTTGATCAGCATGTTGAATTCATGGTGAAGGTAGTAGGCTTTGGTAGTTTTAAGCCTGTTGTGGAAGAACTCCTAAAAACCAGCTGTTCTTATTTTCTCTGTTGGGAGGAAAGATTAGAGACTGTTGAAATCACCCTCTATTCATGCTTTCTCAAATAATGATTTCATTTGTAGTATTTAGCTCAATTTACCAAAAGGATGTGACCATTGTTTTGGGCTGGCAGTCCACAAGAGGATGGGGTGAGACTAGGCACAATAAATGCTGGTGTATTGCATGTAACTTTTACCTACATAAGATATTTTTTTTTAACATGTTTGAGACGCTTGTAAAAATAATTGTGTTTATTAACACCTAATTGAATAGCAGAAATCCAAGTCAACTGAAGGAAGATTTAATGTTTTACTGTTTTTCAATTACATTCCAGCATATACAGGCATTAAAGTGGAGCCTCAGTTCTTTAAGAGACTTAGAAACTTTTGTTAACCCTTTTGACCAAGTTGTCTCATGGGGTAACTGTGTAAAGATTCACACATTCAAGATAAAAAGATATGAAACTTGGGCATGTTATGTTCTAACCACGTAACTCTGCCCAGCTTTATAGAGAAGCCACATTTCATCTCTTGCTAAACTGAGTGTGTTTTGTATGTTTTGTACGTTTGTGTTTGTATGTTTTATGTTTGCTGTGAGTTTGAGGATTCAAAATACTGCACAATAAAGACATGTCTGATTTGTATATTCTGGTAGCTCTCAGTCCTAAGTCATTAAAATACACAGAATCATGAATTATTGTCAGGATGCTGTCTCTAGCAGAAAGTTATGGTTTGTTTGGTTCGAAATGTAATCAAGAATATAATTGTGTTCGTGCTGTTAGACTGTTATATTCTGGCAAAATCCTGGAAGTCTCCAGCTCCTTCACTGAAGTCCACCAAGTGAGCAAAGTTATGGTTTTCAAAAACTTGTTGTATGATTGAGAATGTCCCTTGAGCGGGATGCATGCTGGTGACTCTCATTTGTGAGAGGATCTGGGTGGTGCCAGCAGTGACACCATTCCTTGCATGGACAACTTCCCCAACTGTGTGTGAACCATATCGTTGGTAGGGAAGCTGTAGCAGTGAAACTGTGGTTTTGAAGAAACTTTTATGTGACTGGATTCAAATGAGGAAAGTGTTAGGGTAAGTTCCTGTTCCCAGCCTTACGTGACTAGCCTTGCTGCAGGACGTGGGACTGCACTGGTGGTGTAGAGGAGCGATAGTTCTTGGTAAGTAAATCCCAATTCAATTTCTGAGCCATCTATCTTGTTACCATAGTTCAAGATCTAAAATGTGAAAGTTGTTCTACATCCAGATTTTGAAGCATTTTGATTCTAGCTTATTTTTGCTCTAGGAGAATTGTGGTTTAGGATTCAGGTTAGTCTGCATTGGACGTGCCATAGCTGAAATCAAAACAGATCCAATTCATGTATTTGCTTGAGCTCTCAGACTCCCAAGAATTTGTACGGAATAGATTGCTGCAACATTTTAAAAGTTGTAGATACAGAATGTTTATTTAGAATGGGAGAATTCTTCTGCATTTCAAATCATTTTTGTATTAAATCATATTAAAGCATTTTATGCCTATTAGGATCATGAAACTATGAAATAATTAAAAAAAAAGTCAAACTTGATTATTTTTTACTTTTAATGTGGAGTTTGGAAAAGTTTTAAATTTGCCCATATGAAAAATCCTAAACTAAGCTTGGTTTCTTTTAATTTGTTTATATTCTTCTTTTCTATTTCATTTTGTCTTGTGATTTATTTTTGTCTGAATGTTGAAGTCATCTGAAGGTGTCCACATTGATGGACACCATTACAGAGAAAGTATGCAAAGAGAGACTTGTCAAAAGTATGATAGGAATGGCAGAAACAGTGCAAGGAAAATCCTTGTGCTGTAATTTGAGCAAAGAAGTACAGAATTTGCATAAAAGTTATTCTTACCCTTTTATAAAATTTGTTTCAGCTATATTCTTAAAACTTTATTAGGAAAAAATTGAGAAATGTATCTTAATGGTGTTTGAAGATAGTAAAAATACTGCAGTTTTCAGGAAGGATTTTGGCCTTGAAAGCATAGAGAGGAACACACACAAAGTTTGGAGCAGTGAAGTGTTTTATGGAAATCAGAGAAAAGTATGTACAACCCTTTCCGGCATGTGAAAATTGATCTGGAAGTTCAAAGTTTGCAGTGCAGTAATGTGGTGGTTGTGAGAGAGGTTGTAATGACTCTCAGGCCACTTCAAAACACTAAAACATCTACCTAATCCTGTCATTCCTCTGACTCTGGCGGCTCGTTGGAAGGAAAGGAGTCAAAACCAAATTACCTACACTTTTTAATACTTTAATACTTTAGATAAGGGAGAAGGACAAGGCAGTTCCTGGGTGGCCAGGATGTTGTCCTTCCCGGTGGTGCCCTTGACATTGCACTCCTCTATTTAATTTTTAAAGCACTTGACCTTGGGGGTGTCTGTAGTTTACGTTTGTCAACAGGATTCAGCAGATGTTTCGGTGAAAACTGTAAAAGAAATGATGAGCTGGAGTGAAACAGTCTAAGGCTGTTTCATATACGGTGTTCATACAAAGTAAAAAAGGATTGGAAACCTACTCTGAGTTTATGTGCTTCAAGTCAGAACCTGAAAAGCTGACAACCCCAGGAAACCACTTCAGCTACAAGCCACTCTCTATTATAGAGTTACAGCCTAGCCTGCCCCTGCCTTCCAAGGAAGATTCCCAGGAGAAGGAAATCCGGAGAGGCCTATTAGAATAAACTCCTCTTTGGCCCAAAAATTGCTGGAAAAATATAACATTGTCTTGAGTCAAAGTAACTTCTTCCCCTTAAAAGAGAGGTTATAGATAAGAGTATGTCCTGAGTGCAAAAACTGGAATATATCGTGGCGTAACTGGGAAAGATAGGATTGGAAAATAAACAAATTCACAATTAGCAGTTAGCACTTTGAACAGCCTCCCCACCCCAAGTTTGCTAAGCAGCTTACCGAAATGGCAAATGCATTTCAGATGCAGGACATGATATTAAAATTATGTCTCTAAAGGTGGAAGATGCTGAGTAAAAAAATACAAAATTATTTCAGCAATTATTTTTCTCTCTTATTTTGTGACTTTCAATGGAAGCTGTTTCACAGTTGGTGTAAGTTTCAACTCTTTCCATCTGGTAGCTGATTATTGATTGTTTTTAAACAATAATTATTTTTGCATATTAATACAAGAAAATGTTTACTTTAGTGAAATGTGTAGTCGATATATTTTTTTTTTTTTTTCTGTGATAGCATGGCTGCTTTTGGTGCCCATTCTGCACTGCGTCCTTGCTGTCCCAAATGACACTCCCTATGAACCCAGCCAGGCTATGAAACAAATCTGTTACCAGTTCCTGCTGAGTCCTTCACTGCCCTCCTCTATTTCTTCTGCAGTATTGCTATTTTAGGGACACTTCAGCTGGGAAGTGAGTCTGTCATTCATTAATGAATGCTTACTGTTGTTCTAATCTGAAATAATCTTTAAAAGTTCTGAAAATGTGATAGGGAGGTTAATAGCATGACACTAGTTTCATTCAGAGAGAGGAATTCACGTGAGAAATTGGTTTCTGTTGCAGTACGTGTTCCAAGTATACCAATTTACAGAGCTCAGGTGATGAATCCCTATTTTATTTATTTTCCTCATCTCTCAACCCAAAAACTGTACCTTGAATTGCTTTAGTTTTTATGAAATGGCACAGCCTCTGCTTAGGGTCTGGTGGGATGCCATGGTGTCTGACTGGAGTTGGACACGTGGTACGTGTACTCAAGGAAAGTTATGGAAGACGTCTATGGTTAAAGAAAGTTGCACAACCAGAATCAGTTTGCTATTTATTAACTTCTGAGTGATTAATCCTGGAAACTGCAGGTTGTATGTACATAAATTGTGCACAGGTTTGTCTGCAAGATCCTTTTCAACTGACCTGGGGCAGTGAAGTAGGAAAGAGTTGATTCCTTTGTTGGTTGTAGCCTTTCATCTGACTCCTTCTTTCATGTCCTTATCTGACTCGTGCTTTCAGCATTTTGTCCTTCCCCGGAATATCCCTCCTACCTTTGCTCCGTACATACAGATTCTGAGGAATGGCTTAAGTGGAGACTGTGGAAAGACAAGTGGGACAAAGCAGACAGACAGAAGCTTTTTGATGTCCATAAGAGTTGCTGCCAGCGAGCCCTGTGGGTGGGTTTGTGAAGAAAAGTAGTTAGAGGAAAAAGGTTTTGAACTTACAGAGTCATACAGTGGCGGTCACTGTTAAGTCAGCAGTGTCTGATGAGAAGAACCTTCACTTCCCACAACACGTTGTCCCTCTGCTCATACATGAAAACCCCTGTTGCTGTGGTCGTATTCGCTCTCCCTTGCATGGCTGTGTTGCGTGCAAGTCGCTTTGAAACCTAGACAGAACCATTTGCTCATTTGGTGTTTGAAGGAGAAAATGAAGCATATATGAAATTAACTGATTGTCCTTTTAAAAAGCTGGTTAAATTTCAGGTTTAATCTAACTAGCAGATCGGGTTGTGGATCGTTTAAAATGCTTTCTCTTTTGGCAGATACCGAACGAGTTTCAGACCTCGGTACACAATTGCATATAAGACGGTAACGGAGCTGGAATGGAGATGTTGTCCTGGGTACAAAGGGGAAGACTGCAGAGATGGCCCAGCAGAAAAGCCAAACACTGCTCGTCGTCCTACACCACCAGCAAAAGCTGTCGTGAAGAAAGGCTTGGGTAACTTTTTGTTTGAATTTTCGTATGCATGATCACGTCTGGATTTTTGTTTTAAGTATAAGAACGGTTATGGTTTCTGTTAAACTCAACTACTGGCAGGTAGGAGATCCATATGGAAGACACTGTGTGGTGGGAAAATAATTGCCAGGCAATAACAGTCTTGATACAGAGAATTTCCTGAAGAATAATGGAGAGGTGGGTGTAGAACGCTGGCCATAAATGCCAGCTGGCTACTCATTGTTCAGGAAAATCTTTGCATTAAGACTAGGGGGTTTTTTGTAAGAATTTGCAGGGGTTTTTTTGTGGTTTCTTCAATGTTCAGCAAAACAAATTAAATATATATATACACACACATTTGAGAGGAACTATTATTAAAACAAAAAAAAGTACTAATTTTAACAATATATAATGCTCTCTAGCTAGATATATATTATCTATATAATCTATGTTATATTATATATCTAGCATTCACAGTGTTTTGTTTGTTCAAGGGCTTGTGCAGGTTTTACAGATTCATATTACATTACCTGCCTTAATACTAAGGGGTAAGGGAATGATAAGCCTCAATTGCTGAAAAAATACCTTAAGAAATGAATGGTGTTTGTATAAGATAGTGTCTTCTGAAAGGGTAAGAGGAGTGCTGTTACTGCATTATTATGCCTTTTCTGCATTAACAAAAAATGATAAACACATGTTTGCTTCTGACGGACTTTTTCCCAACATCATCAGAGATTAGTGTCACGGATAGCGCTTAGTCAGATTTCCGCTTGTGGTTTTTGTGTAGTGGAATGGATTGGGACTGAATATATGGCTTTAAACCAGCCCTATAGATTATATACCTGCTTTAAAAATAGACTTTTAAAATATTTTATTAGCCCACCCAAAATATTATTTCCAAAAGATGATAATAAAACATGGTGATACCTTTAAGTAACTTGCACACTGCTTGCGTCTAGGTATTTTCTTTCTGCTCTGACCCTAGAACTGTAATTCAGTGCAAAAAAAGACCAGTGTGTATGTAATAGCTGCACTCTGTGTCTGCATACTTATTTATTATTAAAGGAACTGGCCACTCTGCCAGTCTTGAAGAATACATTTGTGACTTCCTACCTTCCTTCTTTAAGCTGAAATCCAGTTTAAAACTAAGAAAACTTCCCACTGCATGTCCTTCAGACCCTATCTCAGTATGGACTTTGGATTATGAATTGCATAAAAGATACCATGCAAAATCACAATTAGGAATATACATGACATATTTGTAGAGTTTACCTTACTCTGCCTAACGGCAGAGATATATGGTAGTATGCAAATAAATATCGTCATATGGGTCTACACATTAAAGTGGTATTAAATGTTTGTTAAACTAAAGCAGTTGGTGCTCTAGTTGCAGGTTTGATTAATATTAGATGATTGTTTGGGATCACACTCAGTATCTTGACTTACTAGTGCCTTGTTGCTGAGAATCCCAGAAAACAGGACTAGAGGGCCCTTAAGGGGTCTGTTTATCTGACCCCTAAGGTAGGATCAGCTATGTCTGTCCAGCCTCCAGTGGTGGAAATTCTGCTGCTCACGTGGACAGTGACTTCTGGCATTTCACTTTCTGTACCTTGACTTGCTCCAGTTGAAGCCTGTTCTTCTTGTCCTGTCCCGTCAGCAGCAGATACGGAAAACAGTTTGTTCCATACCAGTTTGCAAGTGTCTTTCAGAATATCACTCTCGTTCTGCTCTAGCCTAAATAACAAATTATTTTGGCTTTTCCTGCAGTTTATACTTTCTTGACCTCTGATAATGTTTCCGTTTCTTCCTTTCGTCCTTTCTTCCTTCTGTCCCTCCTTCCCTTCATCCTTCCTTGATTTTCTATAATTTTTGTGGATTTTTGCTTGAAATGGAACATCCAGAATTGTACATGGCTCTACAAATAAGTACTGCCAGTGACAGATGGATTGGAAGGATGGTTTCAGATTCATCAGCTGATTTGTGCTAGGTAAAAGGTAGATTGCAACTAGAAGTCTACTTTTCCTTTTTTAATTCAAAGAGAATAGTGCTGGTGTTATTTTAATACAAGTGTGGATGCGTAAAATTTAGGCTTTTATACACATTGCTTACTTAAGTATGTGTCAAATAATTAGGTATTTTTGAAGCATGTGTGATAATGGAATATCTGCAGAACCCCATCCAGTAGGTGCATTTGGACTCCAGTTCAACAAAGTACTGGAGCACAAACCTGCTTTAGGCACATAAATTATTGCCACTTCAGTTTTCAGTGGGAATTCAGGAGCAGCACCTCCCAAATTATTATTACAGGAAATGCAGTGGCCCTAAAGTGATTGTGTTGTGATGTATATGGATCATAATGGTCTGGTATATATGCTATAGCTTAGATTCACTGCTGAACAAGAAGCAGGGTTCTGCTTGCTAATTTATTTATTTATTGCCAATGTAGTATGTTGGCAGGAATTGGTCAATGTGCTCAAACTTTTAGTTTGGAGGGTTTTGATAACATTTCAATTATAAACTAGTGAAAACAAGAATAGAAAAGGGAACAAACATCTAGCATTTTAAGGCATTATTTGGCTTTAAAGAAAAGTGGAATTAGCCTCAGTTGATTAAAACAGATACCACTGGGAATATTTATATCCAGACTTTCTTATTTCCATCAAACAGATGCAGAACCAACAGAAGTGCCGGAACCTCCACCATACGAGAAGAAAATGCAGTTTCTTGAGGATGAATTGTTTAGACTTACACGATCAGTGCTTGAACTTCAGTCCTCTGTGGCAGGTGTGAATGAAAACCTAAAGTTGACTGTCCAAGAAGATGCGAGTAAGATGTTGGTCACTTGGCTAAACAACCTTTATGACCGCCCAGAGTCTGATAGCGTAGTTGGTGGTGACACAGACAGTATTCATCTGCCTGGACTCCACAGCAATAAAGATCAGAAAGACCCTTTTATTGATTTTGAAATGGAAGATATAAAGTCTGAGCTAGCTGAGGTCAAAGAAGCCTTGAAGATGAGGAACGACAAGCTGGAGGAACTGAACGGAAAAGTAAAAGGCTATGAAGGACAATTAAAACAACTGCAGGAGGCAGCACAAGGACCTACAATAACAATGCCCAGTGACAATATATATCAGGAGTATATAGACTCAAAATTTGAGTCCCTCAGACAGGAAATACTGGAAGGATTTGAAAAGAAAATGGCAGATCTGAAGAACTCCTGTGAATACAAACTACAGGATATCCAGCAGCAGTGTGATGACAATGACAGTAACTGTTCAGGAATAATTGATGTTATAAGGGGAAAAGAGAATGACTTGAGGAAAGAAATAAATTCTCTTCGAACTCAGATTCCATCAAACAAGTCCAGTTGTTGCAAGGAGGGTGAGAGAAATTACTTTGACCAACAGATAAAAGATTTAGATAAGAAGATTGACAGAGTTGCGGAAGCACACAGGATCTTGAACGTTAGAATAGATAATGAAATCAGTCGATTGTCAACTCCAGATCTAGAAGACATGTTTGGTGAGAGGTTGGAGGAGCTAGATGCAAGGATGAATGTGACGGAACGAAATGCTGAAGAACATTGCTTTTACGTTGAGGAAACACTCCGCAATGCTATAGCTGCTGAGGTAGATGAATTGAGAGACTTGTTTGACCAAAAGCTACGTGGCCTAGAAGATAGGCTAGGTGGCACTATTTTAGAGATTGCTAATACCACAGACCCGGATGGAATGTTTATTAATCCTGGGCCCATCTTGCCCAGTGACGCAGGATTTGCAAATGAGCAATTTACAGCTGAGATGAATTTTGTGAGGAACAAACTACAGTCACTTGAACACCTCTGTGGGCAGAAATGTCAGTCTGCACCACAAGGTACAGAGGACCTTCAGAAAGAGCTAGAAAATTGTAACAACAAATACAATCACTTGCTTTTGAAAACAGAGAACAACTCTGTTCTCCTGCAGTCTCTAAATAGCTCTCTTAATGAGAAACTCAATTTAATGAAGGGTAACCAACGTGATATCCAGAAAATGCAGAGAGATGTACGTGTATTCAGGTATAGTCTAAATGTCATGGATAAAGATGTGAAGAACCTTCAAGATGGCTTGAATAGCTGCAAGGAGCAGCTTCTGGGTGTCAATTCTACCTGTAGAAAAACACAACGAGGTGTCTTCCGAAAAATCGATCAAATGCAAAGGACATTTGCAAATCAGACTGCTCATCCCAGCGACAGTTGCTGTGGTGATGTGAAAGAGAGACTAGAACAATTGAATGACCATATCCTGAATGATCTTAACAAGTGCAAAGAAAAGACCCAAGGCATCCAGGAGGGTGTTTCGGATGTTGAGAGCAGAGTCTCGCATGTTGAAAAAGTTTGTGGCAAGTTGGACTCTGTCTCAGGTAGTTTGGAGAAGATAAAAGAAGGTCTGAATAAGCACATAAGCAACTTATGGAACTGCGTCCGTGAAATGAATGGAACTATAGCATCTCATTCCACGGATATTTCTGGCCTCAAAAATTCTGTACAACAGTTTTACAGTCAAGTTTCCAAAATCACCACAGACATTGAAGGCATGCTGAGATCTCAGTCTGACACAAGTAAGGGGGTTTTTGCATTTTAAATGTTTTGTTTGTTTGTTTTGTTTGATTTTCAGCTGGCTTTCTTTTCTGAGTCATTTATAAAGGAACTAAACAAGGGAGGAAAAATTTAATATTACACAATTTCTACTTTGTTTTTACAGTGACTCTAATTTTGGCTTTTCCTCTAGAACACCATCGAGGACTTTGAGTGCTTTTAAAAGTATTCTCTGTCAAAAAAAAAAAAAAAATCTTACACACTTTCATGTTTACTTTGAGCCAGAATAAAGGCAGTGGGAAAACTAGTATTTTTGGATAGTGAGTTTGAACTGAGTTTTAAGTAATAATTATTATTCCAGTTCATTTGATTTGATTTTTTTGTTTTGTTTTGCTGTATTTTGTTGTGTGAGATTATTCTTGATTCCTCGGGGGAAACTGAAAAGTAAATGGAGAAAAATGAAGTCAAAGGAATTCAAATTTATGCTGAGAAAGTTTCCCTGTAAGTTTTGTTCTTAATCTGAGTTAATGATTATAATTCAGCACCAAGTCTTTGATTTAGGATTTTCACAAACAAGCTCTGGCATATCTTGGTGTGGCCATATAAGACTTCTGCTTCATAGCTCTCCCAGCAGTTTGTGTTCCCACAGTGTAGTTGGCAAGTTGGCAATAGGTGCACACCACAGCTGGCAGCGTTTTCCCACCTGAGCTGCTTCTGTTGGTAGTCCAACGTGTTAGCTCAAACCTACCTCTTTAGGTGGTTTAAAGTTTGCATTGGAGTGGCTGAGAAGCAGAGGCACAAATTGGTTCCCTTTGGCTCAAAATGCTATGAAATGGTAACCTCAGGATGTTGGTGAACCTTGCCGCGAAGGGTTAGAGACCTTGCCAAATGCCGCTCAGTTCCCTTTGAAGTTCTTGCTCCAAATCACAGCAATGGGTTGTTTGTCTGAGAGACAAAGTGTACAGAAGGAAACAGAGTTCCTGTTTCTGTTAGCGTGATGTAAATCCGTAGGAATTGGAAACTGTTTTGAAACTGCGCTCTTCAGTCACTTGATGCTTCTGGTTTTAATTCTGTGCACATGTGAGATAAAGAAGAGGCTGATTTCTGTGACTGGCCCTAAACCAGAAGAAGAGGTGCTGAGGGAAGAGCCTGTGGGCTGTTGCAGCTGATGGTGTCCGGGGGAGATAAGATGAGGGACCATGAGCACTTTTGCTTGAATAGACAAGTTGTGCTTCATGAAAGGTCTCAAAGTAGTTTCTGCAGGGAAAAGTATCCTTCTTACTCCGAGGCAGAGACTTGAAAGCCTGTGATAAATGCATTGTTTCTGAGTGTTTAGTTGTTTAAAACCAAATGTATTGTGGTGTTTGACACAAAAATCCTCCTGAGATGAGAAGTTCTTTTGTGAAATTAAAAAAAAAAATACCTTTCTCCTCCTCTAAAGGAAAAAGTGAATGGGAAGGCAGGGGGTCTGTAATTCTCAGATATTTCTTTTGGTGAAATCTAGACTTCAACAGCATTAGGACCTTTGCCCCTAGATCTTGAAAAAGCGGACCCAGTCCCCATTAAAATGCAGTATGATGTAACCATTTAATCCTATTTCTCATCTATCTTGCCCAAAATAAATTTGCACTAGGGGCCAACATTGGAGGAACGTCCAAGATACAGTAATCTTCCTCCTGCTATTTAAAGCAGGTGTTGGAGCGGCCTCACGAGTTGTGTTTATCAGCCCCTGTTGGAAGGTTGTAAAGCTTTAAAAAGCCTCAGGGTGCCTGGGTTTCCACAGCATAACGCCGTTTCAGGGCAGGGTTCTCGGTCCACCATCAGGTGACAAAGATCCAGGCAAGGATGGTGCAGTGGGTGCCGGGATGCAGGGGTTCTGAGCATCCCTCGCTGCCTTGGGGTGCCCCTGGCCTCCCAAGGATTCGTGAAGCACACGCTTCAATCCCCAAATGTTTCCAATTACAGTAACGCCATCTGGCACAGCAGTCCAGCTAAGCTTTGATGGCTGGAGTTGCAGTAAGATATTGGCAAAAGAGCCTTTTTTGGAAGTAGTTTGGGAACCCTGTTACGTGAATTGGGTATGGCTTTAACTGCTTTTATATCCGTGATCTACAGCATCGTCTCTGATACCAACATCATTTGAAAAGACGATTTTCAGCCCTGGCTGTAGGTCGGTGTTGAGTTTCTTATGCAGTATTTGCCAGCGTATCGTAGCATTCAAATGATGTCATTTGAGTTTGGAACAGCCAAAACAGAAACAAGTTGTTACTAATAACAGTTGTTGAGGGCAGTAAGGCAAGGCTATGTTGCAAGAAATACAATATAAAAATCTTATCAAACAGTGTAAGCCCAGGACACTAAACCTGACCGAAGTCAAATGATCTTGGGAATACGGCTGTGTTTTATTCTGAATTTTTTATTAGGGTTTTTGAAATGCCTCAGTCCAAATAACAAGCCAGTTTAGTGAATGATTGTTCCTCAGATACACACCCAGAAGCAGACCCGTATTTTATTTGTTATAATTTCTGGTGAAGGTAGCACAGCGTCCTGCCATTCCCTGGACACAAGGGGGTGGCAAGGGCAGGCAGTGGTCTGCTCTGAGCTCAAGGGGGACCACCACACACCATATACTTGCCAAGACAAGGTAATCCACCAGCTCTTTGTCCATCTAAAATGGTGACTGCCCCCTTTGTTGTTCTCAGAGGTACCTGTGCACCTCTGCAGGTACGTTTGCTCTTCAAATGGCACAAAACTGAAAGCAATGTTAATGGTCTCTTTTAACTTACTGCCTATTCGTACAGATTCATGAAGTTTTCCAGGAGTCAGAAGTGTGGTCTTGCAGATACCACGCTGGGACTGCAGTTTGCTTTGGTTACGGTTATTTGACCTGAACTGCAATTCCTCTGGTAATTGTCTCTGTAGCAGGGTTTCGAAAGCAACAGCTAAATGTTGTCTGCTGAAGTTACGGTCTAAGAAACCAAATGTATGATCTCCATTACAGCATCGATAAAGAGCATTATAAAATCTTAGTGTTTTAGTGCAAATAAGAGAGAGTCATATGGTTGATTCCTCTAGAATCCCTATGAGCTCATGCAAAATGCAACCTCATTGTCAAATCCCTTTGGTATCTGTATAAGAAAATTCAAGTCAGGTCTTTTTGGCTTCTTGTGAGTCCAGTCAGAGATTCCTTTACTCACAGAATCACATGGGGTTGAAAGGGACCTCTGGAGATCATCTAGTCCAACCCCCTGCCAGAGCAGGTCCACCCAGAGCAGGCTGCACAGGAATGTGTCCAGGAGAGTTTTGAATGTCACTAGAGACAGAGACTCACAACCTCTCTGGGCAGCCTGTTCCAGGGCTCTGCCACCCTCAAAGTAAAGAAGTTCCTCCTCCTGTTTAGATGGAACTTGTGTATACAAGCTTGTGCCCGTTACCTCTTGTCCTGTCACTGGGCACCACTGAAAAAACTCAGTAGTTTACTACTACTTTAGTACTCAGTTTACTACTTTACTCTGTTTTACGCACCTTGTTTCCATGTGTTTTGGGGGCTGAGGAGAGCCTGGTCAGGGCAGAACAGTACTGGAAACAGATGCATCCTGAAGAGCCCCCTGCCTCACGCGTCCAGGTCGCTGCTTGTCTTCCTTCCCAGCAAATCATCCCTCCTTCAGTGAAGTAAATTTCAGGTTAAAGCTGCGTAGCTGAACAAACTGAATAGGATAAAATACTTTTAAGAGGAGGAAGGCAACAAAAACTTTCTTATTTTCAACCGAGGAGGGAAGCGTTTCCTTCTGTTTCGGTTGTGGTTGGTCATCTAAGAGCAGAAGCTGTTTGACATGGTGATGGAGTTGTCACACCAGTGATGACAACCGGAGCAGCAAGGACGCTGCTGCTGAGGGCCGTGTTACTGTTCTCAGCTGTGTAATGATCTCTGCTCTGCTCTTTGCCTTCCCGGATGGATGGGAAGATGATGGGGAAGATTTCTGGTTTGTCGCCGCTCAGCAAAGCTGAAGCAGGTCCAGCCAGATTCACCCCAGCCTTTGTTGGGGGTTCATTTTCTCATTGTCTTGTGAACTGAAAACACGTGTTATGGAATTCAGCATCAGGATAGGGTGGCTCCAGTGTTATCACCTTGTCTAGTGATTTATTGGTGCTTTGTCTTGCTATGATGCATCTCAGTAGAAGAGGCCAAAAAGGGTGGTAAAGGTGGCAGACCAGATCCCTCTCAACCTGGTTACTGGCACTTTAAAATGAGCTTTAGGTTTAGCTTTATGGAGATGTAGTTGGATAATTCTGAATATTGCAGCATTGATGTTGGAAGCAGTTTGCACAGGATACAGGATTTGGGCCATTGATTGTTATTTAAAGGTTTAGAAAAGCAGGCAGAGAAATATATTCATTTTCACTGTGTCAGCCCAGATTATTGTCTTAATAAAGCTCAGCTGAATTGACTAGAGAAGTGACAAGTACATGCATCCCAAGGTAAAGTATTTTGCCAATTTGTGTTTTGAATGAGGTTAATCTGAAGATTTTAGCTGAAGGTCTAAACCTATGCCACCATGGACAGATGTCTCACTAAGTTAACAACTCTGTTAAACAGTTTACTTTGATACTTTAAGCCTTTTTTTTTAAGCATTATAAGATTTTTTTTTAAATCCTGGGATTTTTATGAAGATAATTTTAATCTGTATAAAGTGAAAATTTCACTCCTTAGTCCTCTGCCTTGTGGGTAGCGTTACCGAGTGAGCTTCAGTCCAGCTTTGTGGTGCATTGCTTAGATGAGTTTCAATTCTCACGACAATTAAAGTCAGCCAGCAAAGCTCAGGAAGATTTTTTTTTTCCTAGCAGGCGTATCTAGCAGATGAATGCAGGTGGTGTGAGGCTATGACTTCAGACAGCCCCTCAGCACTCTGGAAGGCTTATGTGGACTTTTGTGGGACTGAAAACAAGAACCGAGATTCACAAGGGTAAAGTGCAGGTGTCAAGTAGTCACGAAACAGCATGTGGGTTGCCAGTGACACTGTCTGGACCTCAGCCGTGCATCACAGACAATACCTGCGTGACTTGGTTGTAAGCTCTCACCCAAAGGCTCAGTGTAAGGCCCTTTTGGGGGTCCCCAGCTGTGCAGCAGAGCCAGGGGAAGCCTCACACCACATCTGCTTCTAGGCACAGCCGTCCGGTTTAGCCCTAGCCACTGGTGAGTTTCTCCAGGCTGATTTTGGACTGTGGTGAATTGAAGTGCTTTGTTCTCACCACTGTCATCTCAGAGCGGTGGTCTCTGCTGTGGACCACAGCAACCATCTCTGGTGGGATGACTTGCATCAGATAAATTCTCAAGGGGATGTTTGTCCGTTTCCCCAGAAACTTACTTCCATCCCTGCACCCAAAGCCATGCTTTAGTCTCAAAATGCAACCAAAGTAACCAATGCTAATTTAGAATGAATTTCTAATTATCCTGTGTAAAGGCTGTCATTGCATCTGCTAAAATCTACACAGCTGCAAATTCATGTTCTTAATGTAGACGTAATTCAGCTTTGTTCATGTCATCTAGGACTTCATTTTTATGAATAAGCTGTAATTCCTATAAAGGGCTTAGAACTGGACCAGGTACACGAACATAATTGTGTCAGCGCTGTTCAACCCTGATGTCATATATGTTGGCTGCCCTACTGGAAAAGACTTTTAATGGTATCTCTTCTCTTCAAACAATAAAGTCTTTTTGCTGGTGGATTATATCCTAGGGTTCTGCCTTCGTTGTCAGAAAATATTAGTAATGGGAGTACTTGGAATGTTAAGGTCATTGCTTTTCAAAGTAGGGAAGAAATAATCTGTAAGTCAGTGTACATTTACTCAGGTTTTTGCTGTGGATACTTTATGGTAGTGCTAAAGGGTCAGCTTCGTGCTAGGTCTTGAGTTGAAAGTGTGAGCGATGGCAGGAAGGGGCTCAGGAGAAGTGACCTGAAGGCAGAGAGAGAGCACGCGATGGAGCTGAAGGCACTGGTGGGAATAGGTGTGATACACAAAGCTGGACCAGCGGGTGACCGCTCACGGGTTATTTGGCTGCTGCTTGTCCCTTCTCCAGGCTGTCTTCACTCCTTTCCCTGTGTCACAGGCTGGGAAAGAGGGGACTCTGTAGTACTGCAAGAGTGGAACAGAATTTTGCCAGTGTGGTCTTGGGTCTGAGGAGAGAGGTGTGGCCTCAAATTGAGTCCTGTTTTATTTTAAAGCTTTTTACAAAAATATGCCATTTTATATGCTATTTTAGGTGAATAATTTTGTATCTTTCCTCTTCTTTCATCACTTCAAAGGACGACCAGAAGTACCACGGCAGCCTTTGCCACCAAGACCACCCCTGCAGCCCCAGCCTGGCATATCCCTGCTGCCGTCAAGGCCAAGGATACAACCCCCACGACAGAGGATCCCCCTCCAGCCACCAAGACCTCTTCCACGCCCAGCGCTGCCAGGATCAGGAGTTGTGCCATTTCTGCCTGGAACCACCGGGATCATCTTGGAGACTGGAGAGGCAGGGCCTCCTGGCACTGTTCTAATGTCAGGAAGAGGGCGGCTTAGAAGCGTGGATGGTCAAGCTGGTCAAAGTACCATGCCCATTGCTGAAGGCTATGCTGGAGCACCAGGTGAGAGAACCAAAATAATGGTCAGTCACTCTTGTCTAAGTGCAATGGACGTGCCAGGTCTTGCTAGAGACGTGATACTGAAATGTGTTGCACTTTACCAGCCACCTTGCAGCCTTTCGTGGGTGCCCGTTAGCAGCTCTTGCTGCTGGGAAGGGGCTCACGGTGGAGATGATTTGTGAAGGGGCTGTTGCAGCCTCCAGCTGGCCACAGAAGTAGGGGAAACGCATTCGGTGCCAGTTTTGTTGCCTTTGCCAAGGCTGCACAAAGCATGAGGTCAACAGGGCTGATGTAAAATCCCTGGTAACTACAGCAGTCTTTGCCGCTAGGGAAACTAATTTTTTTCTTGCTGTAGTGCTTGCCAGTGGATTTAGGACATTGTAGTGAGAATTTCGTTTTCTTTGCCATGACCACCCCAGTTTAACAATAACTGAACATTTCACATGAGATGCTATTTGGTAGCTATTTGATAAGTTGCTGTTCAGTACCAAAGGATGCTTTTTAGAATGCTGCAGTGATATTTAGTCATAAAGGACTCCATGGTGTACTGTGTCACACATAATATTTTTCCTTTGTAGGGTATCCAAAATTATCTCCTCCTACCACAGACTCACAAGGTAAGGCTGCTGTTTCATAAAATTCTTTACATGTGTACTTAATCTTTATTTCAGTCCCTGGAAAGTCACGGTTGAGAGAGCAAAGTGTTGATTTTTAGTATTTAGCAGTGAGGAAAATCTGACAGATTTTTGCTATACCTAAGCTTTAAAATTTAATCCACATCCTTTGAAAAGATGAGGTTTTCGAGGTTTTGAAAAATAATTAATTTTGGGTTATTGTTACTTACTTTGGTGGGTTCTTTTTAAAATACGAAGGGTTTCTATTTCCTAGCAAATGTCAGTACTGACCTTTTTTTCTTCTTAAATGAAAGAATATGTATTTCTTTCTGACAATTTTAATATTTCTTTAATGAGATGTGAATAAGGACAAGACTAAGATCTTGAAGCACTGTTAGTATCTGAGGTAGTGCGTGAGTTGATCCTCCTTTGGAGGGGAGTTTCTGGTTTTGTTAGAATCTCAAGGGTTTGTGTTCCTGACTGCAGTGAAAGCAGGAGTGCTCCCACTGACAAACACAGTTTAAAAAGATTCAAAATGCAGTTTTCTTGGTTTGGTGGTGTTTTTTAAATTAATTATAATATTTAATATCACATAATTTAATATGGATTTGTATGATAAACAGGTATAAATCCTGTGTGAGACATTCTAGTTGGCCTTGATAAATCCATTGTTAGGGTGCTGCCTGCCCTACAACCTCACACTCAAGATATTATCAAACCCCGGGGAAGAGTATCCGCGATCAAAGCGAATATTCCCACACCCTCTTCAGGAAGAATGATTTCATCTAAATTTGTTTGAGGAAATATGAAAAATAGAACATTAGGGCTTTATGGCATCCAAAATCCTACCCTTGGGCCTTAGTTTGATGGCCCTAATAAAATCACAGATACACGTCCTGAAGACTGGTCTGGGGACTGACAGAGTTGTAAAGAGATGAAACTGTAATTCTGGTATTTATACTTTGTAATTAAAAAATCTGTCATAGCCTTAAAGCAATCTTTTTGCATTTGAGGATTGTGGTGGTAAGAATGAGCAGCACTAGATGAGGTTTCTGGAAGAGGATGAGAAGTAAAGAAATGTTCGTTTATCTTGATGCCAGCAAAGCCGATATAGATGTCGAGATTTCTGTGATAAATGGATTTCCTGGGGGTTTTCTTCCACTTTGTACAGCCTATTGCCATTTATAGACAGCAGTATTTTAATAAGTTTATGCTAAAACTGTGTGAAACAGTAGGTGGATGTTGAAAGTATTGAAAAGGCAGGGTACGGCAGGCACCATGTGCTGCTTGGTGGGACGTTGTTGCAAAGAAACATTATCACCCTTGGGATCCAGAGGGAGCTGGGCTGGACCAAGGAGTTCCTTTCCCTGATCCCTGTTCCTGAAGACCTATCTAAATCTGATCTGTCCTATAACTTCCCCCCAAATGCCTTGCAAACCCCAATGGCAGGTACAGTCATAGAAAACAGAGAGGCAAGGATGGTGCAAATAGCTGTTAGACTTCTGTGGAGTTAGAGCGTTTATATCCACTGCCCTCATCGTCAGTGTCTGCCTCTAAACAACAAAGAGAGAGCATTCTGGGGCAGAATTCAGCAGTTAACAGTGTTGTAGAAATTAGCAGCTGGAGAGGGGAAGACTTTTGGCTTATTGGAGGGAGAACTCAATGCTCAAATAAGGCATCAAGGAATCTTTAGTACCTAGTTCGTGCAGGACCACAGTTTATGATGTCTTTGCCAGTCTTCACCCAGTGCATTTTGTGGTACTGTAGTTCAAATTTGAAAGAGGATCAGGTCTTCTTGTACTGTAATTCCTAAAATAAGAAGCTTGTACTATTAAATTGGCTTTCTGAGTACTCCCTTTCATTTCTGTTTCTGAATAGCTTTTGTTGTATAAAAGCACTGCTCAGGAAGAAGTTGAGGGCTCCCACTATCCCACTTTAGTGCTCTTCTTGAATGCTGAGGCACAATTTGCATACTTTTCAATACCAAAGTATTGCTTGAGTTCTTCAGATTAATTAGCTATCTGTTTGCATGCATCTCACAATATAACGTTGTAGGTAAAGATCTTCAAGGACTTAGAAGTATTAATGAGAGAGCATAAGGCACAATATTACATACTAACTCTATTTTCACAGGCAAGGAGTTTATAACAAAGGTGAGTTAAGCGTCAGGACCTAAGTGCATCCACCTAATCCCTTTTAATACAGAAAGAATTGAACCAATTGTTATTTAGAGAAACATCAGCAGCCAGTGCTATTGCAGCATAGCGATTTTACGGTTATGAGAATTTTTGTTTGCTGGAGCAAAGAAAATTGCAGAGGCAGAAGTAATGAATTGGCTGATGAACTGGTCTGGGAACTGATGAGAAAATGCATGTAAGATCCCAGGTCACACAATTAGGCAAGGACAGAGCCAAGAAGAGGATTTGGATGTTCTGATCAGCATACAGAGGGTCACGGTGAAAAAAATTCACTGAGAGCACAAATTGTCTTCCCCCCCCCTTCCCCTTGATGCAGTCTGCAGTGCTGCTTGTGTCCTTAACCCTGCAGCTCCAAGGGAGGGTGGTTGCTCCTCTCTAAAAGAAATTGTAATAAAGAAAACAGGGCTGAGCTAGTGAGCCCTGCCCCTGTGTAAGTGCTGCTGTATGTATCCATGCAGATAAAGGGCTAAGTTTGGTTTGAGCTTTTTAATTCTTCTTGCTTATCTGATACTCAACCATCTTTACTTTCTCCATGTGACTCCAGGGAGTCAGCCTGTAGGACACGTATCAAATTTAAAGGCATGGGGTTTATTGTAAGATTTACGTTGTTGTAGGTTGTCCTTGATTTGAAGAAAGAGTTTACTGAATACATAAATTACTCTGCCGTACTCGTGACGGGTTCCGCTGCATGCTTAGCTCTTTTTTTTGATTAGTGGACAGGGAGCAGTATTCTCATTAGTGCACATCTCAGGGGGAAGCCTCTTTGCTGACTTTGAGGTAGAGAACACGCGATTGCTCGCAGTTGCACCAGTGGTTGTTCTTTGCTGCTGTTTCATAGAATGATTTGGGAGAAAAGTATCTGTGTCTTCATAACACACTAAGTGAGTTGTCATCCACATCAGAAACTCTGTGACTTAGAGCAGAGCTAATGGGCCCAGCTTCGTTGAGCGCTGGCTCTTGGAAATCAGTGTGGTGCTGTGCTTTGCTGTATGGCCATCCCATATGCAGAGAGGATTTTCCAGAAAATGACATGTGCTAGGGTCAAACTGAAGAGTTGTTTGTTGTTTTTTTTTTAAAAAATAGTCATGTAGATGATAAATTGCTGATATTTGTGTACCATTTGCTCCACCTGAAATGATGCGTTTTGCCCTCATTTAGATTTAGTTGTATTGGCCACACAGAGAAAATCTGACATATTCTCCCTACTCCTGCCATATGCAAAGGAGTCCTAAGTGCATCCTGACAAATTAATTACCTACGTATGGTATCTCTTCTGTGTAGATTCTTGGAGCCCTCATTCCAGTTGCTGAGTAATTGTCAGCAGCACCGTTACACTCTTATTTTTTTTTTCCTTTCATCTTGATAGAAAATGCTTGTGCTGTGCACTGTTTTGTTTTGCTTGATTTTTCCCCTCTTCTTTTTTCTCCTTCTGGCCTTTGGGCTCTGTGGGAGGCATGAACTGTGCTGGGAAGTCAAAAGAGAGGTGGAGAACCAGAAATACAACTAGCAGATGCCTGGAAGTAGATGTAACCTAATAAAGGCCACCCATGTATCTTCTGTGGTCTTTTGACTCCTCAGAATGCATTATTGCCATGATCAGCTTAGATTGCCATGAACATGCATACCTCATCCTGCTTATGTGTATATATCTATCTGTCTTTCTCAGGTGAAACTTTCTTAAATACATCTAAAGTCAAAGGGTTTTTTCCTCCCCCTTAAGCTGTAAAACTGTGGTTGAATCTTTTGCGAAACTTTTTGTCTGCCTGGCAGTTTCTTCATCAGAGCTGTGCATGTGGTTCCCAGCTTTTAAATGTTTTAAAAAATTTCTTCCTGAATTTATAATTCCACAACACTTGACTGCTTAAGTGAAAGCAGTTTCCAAGCCTGGACCTTGCCTAGAGAATCTGAACTTTGGTCTTTGCATGAAGAGGAGTCTTTGCAAGTGGGAACCTGTAAGAGAAGGTGGTTCACCTCTCTGTAAGGTTCTGCCAAAGCACTGCTGAGAGCTTGTGAAAGCTTCAGAGAGGCACAGCTCCAGCTGGAAGCAGGGAGGAGGGTAAGAGAGCACAGACACGTTGCATCTCCTGTGCCTCCTTACATTGCCCACTGAACTGATCTACTGGATATTTAGAGGGCTTTTAGATTTCTCCTTTGGACAAACTCGGATGATGTGCTAAACTTGGCTGCAGAGCTGAAGCAACTTCAGCATCAAACTGTAATAACTATTTGAGCAATTACTGCAGGAAAATCTTGAAGGAAGCCTGGTGAGCCAGAGCGGGAGTTGCTCCCTTATCCGGGTGACACCAACTCAGACAGAATTGTAGCTACTGCAAACGGAAAGGCCAGAGCTTCTGGGCAGGTGGCAAATAGTTTCTGCTGTTTATGCAGTTTATGGCTGCAGGGGAGAGGAACCTGTCCAAGTGAGCCAACAAGAAGTTAGTTGAGGTGCGTTTTCAGTTGGTTTGAGTCTCAGGTGAAGCTGAGAATACAAAGAGATGCTTTCTCTAACTAGCCTGGTGTTAAGGTGGTGGAGCTTTACAGAAGCTGCTTAAGTAAGTAGACTTCCTGCAATTAATTTTGGTCCTTTCAGATAACCTCATCTTAGCTCACAGGAGCACCTGCAGGCGCACGGGCAGGTAGGAGTAATGAAAAAGGGCTTCTGTCTGTTTTCTGGCTGTGAGACGAAATACCAAATAAGCAGAGATAGATACATGAGATCTACATGAGATAAAATGATACATGAGGCAGCTGGTTACTAGCCCCTGAGGGAAACAAAGGTAGTTACTTGCCATTTCTGAAGTTGCAGGCATGTCTTCCCCTTGCCTTCCCCTCCCACTCTTCCCATGCCAAGTTATTCAGGAAAAAAAAAAAACCAACCAAAAAAGAAGGATAGCAGATCATTTGTATATCCACACTTTAGGTGAAGTTTTGTCACTTTTAAACTTCAGTTTTTAAGGGATATAATCTGAATTGAACATTGGTTGCTGATGGGCATCTCAGATTGAGAGGAAGAGAAAACCAAACATACATTTTAAGGAAGGCAGAAGAAGGAGCAGGGGTGAAACAGCATGGAGAAGGCATGGATCCTAATCTGAACAGGGTAGAACAGAAAGAGCAATTGAGGACAACTTTAAGAGTGTTAGTTGTTTCCCGAATTGCCCAACCAAAGCACCAAGACTTGACTTCTTCTAGTGGTGTTCCTGCCTTAGGGGAAATGTTCAGAGGGAAGGGAACTAAAACGGGACTAACAAGTGGTTGATCACTAAAGACTTGCCATTAAGTCAGTCTGTTAAAAAAAGAAATTTGTCTCAGTTGTCCAAACTGACTGTACTTTGTCTAACAGCAGTGTTCAGCTAGTAAGCAGAGAGCCACTATAAAATAGCTAACGTCTGTTTGATCTGCTGACAAAAGAAGAAAAAATTGAGTGAAAAGTTGCCTAAAAGAGAATTGCAAGAGAGAAAAGCCTTGGTGATGGTTCTCTTTGCTTTAATACCAAAATGTTACTTCTTATAGTTATTTCCACTGCCGTCAGCAGTGAAGGTAAGAGATCTAAGATGTGGGCAGTTTCTCAGCGTGAGTAGGAGAGCTGTCACAAGCTATACACCTTACCACTCCTGTTGCCATTGTGATAGGTCCAGAGAGCAGAGATGTCCATGGGCAGTCTCAATCCTGAAGAAGGTCCCTGGCAGAAGCATTGTTGGATTGAGGGGTGGCAGGATTTCTGCTGCCAGCATTTACAAGCCATGTACCTTTTCCTTAGAAGGAGGAAAAAAAAAAAAAGAGAGGTGGCTGTGGCCAAGGGGGGAATATTATGGTTCTCAGTAAATTTTATGGTGAGACAGCTGGGACCTGGGCCAGCAATACGTATTATGCTAATTCTGGCATCTCTCAAGTGACAGAGTTAGTCCAAGTGGAGTATGTGCAGTAATGGAGACACTGGATTATAGACCATGCCAGGGAGAGGCTGTGTTGTCATCCTGATGTGACTCTGACTCACGTTGTTACCCATTTTAGGACCTGCTGCTGCTGCGGCGGCCTCTCTGGTGTCCTTTTCTGCTGGCCTCACCCAGAAGCCTTTCTCGAGCGATGTCGGCGTGGTTCACTTCAACAAAGTGCTTGTGAATGACGGGGACTATTACAACCCCAATACAGGTAATGGCCAAAGGATGGACCCACAGAGATGGCACATGGGCAGGTGGCACGGGTTACCAGTGTTTGATGCTACCTCAGGCCTTGCTGGCAGCCTGAACAAACAAAATAAGCCCATTGAAAGCAGACACACCAGGGTAAAACCTTCCTCTGGATGTGGACAGGCATGCACTTTGCCACTGCTGGTTTTCCATGGCTGCCCAGTAATACTCACCCCTGCCTCTGGGGTTGTGCTTCTCACTCCACCTCAGGCCAGCTGAGCCCTGGTAGCCAGGTGAGGTTCCTTGGTAACCCACGTCACTGCAGCTCAGGCAGCTGGGTCACCCCAGGGAGAGGAGGGAGGGAGGTGACACGTATATTGGTGCCTCTCTAATAATGGTAACTGTTGACTGCTTCCTTCTAAAGCAGAGTATAGAATCATAGACTGGTTTGGGTTGGAAGGGACCTTAAAGATCATCTAGTTCCGCCCCCCGTGACATGGGCAGGGACCCCTCCCACTAGCCCAGGTTGCTCAAAGCCCCATCCAGCCTGGCCTTGAACACTTCCAGGGATGGGGCATCCACAGCTTCTCTGGGCAACCTGTTCCAGTGCCTCACCACCCTCAGAGTAAAGAATTTCTTCCCAATGTCTCATCTAAATCTCCCCTCTTTGTCAACTTGAGGGTGTTCAGCATGCCTTAAGCTACTGGGGACTTGCACAGCATGTGGGTGCCTCTCACCTCTTCACCCCACTCTGAGTCCTGGCAGCTGCTTAGGCCAGGAGGTTTCTAAACGTAGACAGGACCTGCTTATGTAGGTAGGAGGACCGGTGGGCTCCTACAGCCTTCATGGCTGCTAGCAGTTGGTCACCTGCCCAGACTGACCTTGTCACAGTTGTCTGTACGTAGCAATGGGTAACCCGTGTCGCTGTATGTTTATCATCATGCTTAGGGCATTCGGGTCTCTCCATTTGGAGTAGCTCTGAAAAGCTCAGTGTGTCTCTCTTCTGCAGGCATTTTCACATCTCCGTATGAAGGGCGGTACCTGATCACCGCTGTGCTGGCCCCAGAGAGGGATGAGTACGTAGAAGCCGTGCTGTCCGTCTCCAACGCCAGCGTGGCTCAGCTCCACACCGCTGGGTACAGAAGGGAACTGCTGGAGTATCACAAACCCTACTCGGGGAAACGGACCTGTGGTGGTCCTGGGACATTCCACCTTGTTCTTCACCTCAAAGCAGGAGATGAAGTAAATGTCGTCGTAACAGGAGGCAAACTGGCCTACACAGACTCTGACGAAATGTATTCCACGTTTAGTGGAGTTCTCCTTTATCCTTCCATTTCTCATGTTTAGGTTTACCTTGAACAGGAGAGAAGGGTAAGATATTCAGAAGAAATTAAGTGTAATAAAATTCAAAGCTTTAATATATTCAGTTTATATATTTGATTTCAGTGATGGGTTTATAGTCTATACCGAGACCTTTTCCTTGTCCCCTGTTTCCAGAGGTAGCTACAAAAGAGATGTTTCTGTAGCTAAATTAACTGCTTCCCAAGCCCTTGTTTACCCGTACAAGCAGAACAAATGTTAAACAACAAATATGTTCTCAGTAGATACTTTTCCACTGTGCTCTCGCTATTCCCTATTCAATTGCCTTTGCAGTCTTCTCCCTAGTCTATCACATCCTCCTTAGTGTATCAAAGTTTACATCTTCGCTGAAGTTTACAGTTGTGGTCAGCTATTTTCATGTGTTCAGTAAAGCAGGGGTGAGAAAGCAAGGTTGCATCAGATGCAGTTATCACTTCTTAGTCCTTGTGGTATTTAATATCATGTTGGGTCAAGTGCATTTGTGTAAACAATTTGTTCAAAGCAATTGCTAACCGTGGTGGTGGAAAGCAAAACGATACTTATCTGCAGCAGTTTTCTTTTTTACTTTAAGGGCCAAACACAGTGCTAAGAGATGAGCGACTCATTCCAGTCCAATGGAAGCAGCTGTGCTGGGAGAAACTTACCTTCCCTCAGCTTCCCACCGGGCAGACACGAGTGTAAGGTGCAGTTGTCACTACTGAAAGAGTTGTTGTTATTATTATTATGACAGTTATTTTCAATTCATACTGTAAAAAAAGACGATCCGTTACGCATGACGCTCTTGAGATTAAAGCTTGGTGCTTGAAATGAATAAAACAGGTCAGAAAAATACAAATCATCTGTGCTTAGTTAGAAAAAGTAGTAATTTTGAAGTTTAAAGAAAATTTACAAAGTTTGTTTCTGGAACTCCTACAGTATTTGCTTTATAAAGGAAGTTTTGTATTTGTTGCATTGTAAAAAACAAATCAGAGGAAAAATCATTAATAATAGGATAATAGTCTTATTAGCCAATACTGTCAACTGCACAACCCAGCCGTCTGTGCTGCGTCTTCATTGTAACAGCCTCCTGCATCAGTGCTCTTCAGTGAGGTTTGTTCTGATATTCAGCATCTGCTTACATGGATGAAACAACTTTCTTAGCTTAAACAGATAAACAATTTGGGGCAGCAGTATTTTACTTCTCTTTTTATACTAGCTACTTCTCAGTGGAGCTAGCAAAAACGATGTTTGGCTCTTTCGAGTTAGCATTTTCATCTCTTTCATGGCTGAAAAAAACCTGAGAGCAGCACTATCCAGCTGTCACCTATAGATTCTTATATAAACTGATCTTCTTTAATAGTCTATTCACGCTACATAGAGTTGCATTTATCATAGCAGTTTGTGTAGTAGATTTCCCTTCTTATAAATCCCCAACAGCTGTTTGTAGCCTCAGAACAAACAATTCCTTTAGGTGAAGGAAGAACTCCCTGTGCTCTGGGCAGCACAGCACGCTTTAGCTGAAGCCCTTCCCATCTGAGGAGGTCAGATGAAGACTCATGCCTTTGTTGCTTAAAGTTTTGGAATAGATAACTCCCCTAATAACCCCGTTTCCAGGCGATGAGATGGGGCCTTCCCACAACAAACTGTCACATCCTGGAAGTTGAGCTGCTTCTGAGCAAAGCAGGCTCCACAGAGGAGCTCCGAGCCCGTCCCAGGGCAGCAGGGGTTGTGCCCAGTTGTGAGCACAGGAAGGAAATTGCAAGCAGAGTCCTAAAGCCCCTGGTTTAGGAAGATCCCTCGGCACCTGATTTTCAGCAACGAGGGTGTTACTGATAAGCAGAAGCCAGGACTGGATGGATTTTGGAGCAGGGTGGAAGGCTGTTTCTGTAGGAAACTACTACTCAGTAGCCAAAGATGTACGTCAGCTGGCCCCTCACAGCTTGGTAAAGGAGCCACCCCATCTCATGTCCCGTGCGTTGGTCTGGAGCTGTGCTGGAGCACGAGCCTTAGCGAGCAGGGAGCAGCCACGGGCTTCTTCAAGGGGGGCTTGGTTTTCCTTTGTCCTAAATCAACAGCCCCTTTCTGTCCCGTGCCTTTCTAGGTCTCAAAATTGAAGGCACAGAGAGGAACAATTGTTTTCTGTGTTTTCAAAAGCCAGTTACATCAACCAGGGTTTTTTTTTTGGTTTTTTAAAAAGTAATTTCTCATTCTGTACGAAGGCCGGAGAGGCACTTTTCCTTTTAGGATATATTTCAGTCTCCTCAAGAAAGCTGTGTTCTCTAAGAAGTTGGCTCCAGACTACGTGTGACTCAAGCATTGTTAGATTATTGTTGCCTGTTCTAAAAATGACTCATGGAAACAAACAAAATGAGCTGAGTGTTTAGGGAGACCTAGCTGGCAAACACTGCTTTTTTTTTTTTTTTTTCCTTTTTTTCTTTTTCCCCTCCAAGTGAGACATTTTTAAGAATCAGCAGTGCAAGCTCAGTGCTAGAGTTGCAAAAGTTGTATCATCTAATTCTTAAGCTAACCACTCTGGTAGATTTTAAATCCAACCCACACACCTTCCAAGCCCGGTTCTGCTAATGGGACAGGGCTGTCTTCTGCCAGAAGGTTTCTCCTTGTACTTGGGGTCTGCTGCTGCTCAGATACAAGGGCTCATCCAAATGCAGCATAACTGGTGTCTGCACACAGGCAGAAAGCATTCCCTGAACAATGTCAACTGCAGGGATGTATTTTAAGGACACCTTTTAGAGCTTGTAGGGGTAGTTTCCCATCCACCATCTCTAGCAGCGCAGTAGCTAAAGCTACGACCTTTGACAAGGAACCTCTGTCTTAGATTCCTGCCTTTGTTGAGAGAGACTTGACCTTTAATTTCCACCTCCTCAGTAATTGCTGTAATCAGGGTAGGTGGCTTGGTGCCTTCTGATGAGGTTATTTTCCTGGGGCATACAAAGTGGAGCATTCACCCAGCTGGGAAGATCACAGTGCTGTGGCCCCTACAGAGCAAAGGGAGGGGGGAACCTGAGTTCCAGTCTCTGCTCCAGCATCTGCTTGAATAAAACGTTCATTAAAGCAGCAGCTGGAAGGGACTGAAGCACAGACACATTCATGGGCCTGCTGAGGGTTTGCTCTTCCAGAACAGCCCAGCCTCACAGGAAGGAGCAAGAGCCCTGCTCCAGAACACCCTGAAGCCACCAACCGAGCATTTACATCTTTGGTGGCAATCAACAACAGAAGGAGGAAATACCGGCACCGAAAGGAACATTTCATGCTGGGGGGGGTGATGATTTGACTACCACAACCAGGAGCATCCACAAGCTCACATAGGAAGCATCTCTAAACCAAGAAAGCCTTAAAAAACCCCATAAATCCTGTAGGCAGGAGCTGTAAGGCAGGTATTCACAGAATCACAGAATCTTAGTGGTTGGAAGGGACCTCTGAGATCATCGAGTCCAACCACAAAAAAACCCAAACAAACAAACAAACAAAAAAAACCCAAAAAAACCCACACCCCACCAAACGCCCACCAAAAACACCGCACCCACCAACTAAACCCCACACTCAACACCTCCCCATAAACCAATAACCTTGGGCACTAGAGCATGCCCTGAAGAGCCATGTCTATACGTTTCTTAAATACCTCCAGGGATGGTGACTCCACCACCTCCCTGGACAGGCTGTTCCAGTGCCTGACCACCCTCTCAGTAAAATAATTCTTTCTAATATCTAATCTAAATCTCCCTTGCCGCAACTTCAGACCATTTCCTCTGGTCTTGTCGTTCGTCCTTTGGGAGAAGAGGCCAACACCTGCCTCTCTACACCCTCCTTTCAGGTAGTTGTAGAGGGCAATGAGGTCTCCCCTCAGCCTCCTCGTCTCCAAACTAAACATGCCTAGTTCCCTCAGCCTCTCGCCCGTTTCGTAAAGCACATAGTGCAGGGTGTGAGGAATGCCAGATTCTTAAGCAAAACAGTATCTGTTGTGCCAAGTGCTCCCATTTCACAGCAAAAGAGGAGGAAAACCAAACCATACCAGGTGAGGCTGTACAGAGGTGTGTATAGAGCCCCTTGGCCAGGCAGAAGGCAGGGTGGTTGGTTTCTCAGGGACTGTCCAAATACCAACACCAGCAGAGTCCCCAGGGCAGCGCCACACATCAGACAGGTACATTTCCTACGGCCAGGCCGTTGGCAGCAGAACATCTGCAGACAGGCTGGCTGTCAACAGCCACAGACTCTGCTCTGGCCAAACCTGGGAAGTCTGTCCTACAGCAGCGATGGGGAAATAACAACAATACAAAGCAGTTGTATCCCCACAAAAGCTTGGAGCAAAGCAGGAATGCCAGTTTTCACCACAAAGCGTGTAAAAAAAAACCAAACCACCTACCTCATTATTTTATTTTCCTATTAAGGCTTCGGAGACAGTGGAGACCTTTCTATAGTGACTGCTCAAAGCAGTGACGATTTTCAGTGGCATTCCACCCTGTATCCTTTCCACGTACACCAGGTTAGTTGCAGCAACTTTGTGTGGTTCTGCTGAGGGACTCAGTCAGCCTGGTGACACCAACCAGCCAGCCATGAAGAATTACCAATAGTCAAGGAAATAGAGCGCGCTGTAAGTAGAAAGCAAAGGAAAGCAACTTGAAACAAAATACCCATCATCTCCCAGCAGGGCTTTAAAACGCAGTGGGAATGCAAGGTGAAGGGCTCCCCAGCTGCAGTGAGGAGATTCCAGTCGGGACTGAATTGTTTCCCGAGGACACACTGTGTGTTTGGAAGTGAGTTTTATCTGCTGGATAAGTCAGTCCTTGTGTTACGGCCCAGTGGCGGATATGGATCTATGTCACCAAAGCTATGAATGCGCTTCCAGCCTCAGCGTGGAGCCGGGAGGAACGTGTGCCCCCCCGAGACCCGGTCAGCAGGCAGGCTGTGGCTGCTCCCAGATAACAAGGGCACAGAGTTCAATGTGTCACCTTAACCAGGAACACCCAGGGGCTGTGTCCTGTCAGCATCACAGGACAGGCTGGCGCTGGAGCCGGCACCAACCCTCCTGCAACGTACCCTGCAGGCTTGAGACAAGATGCGGAAGAACAGCTGTGCCAATTCTTTGTGCATGGGAGACTTCAAAGAACATCTTGTAACATGTTTCTACAGAAGCAGGTTTTGGCATTTATCCATTTTGCTATCTTGATTGTAAAAAAAAAATAAAAATCAACAAAACCCAACCACATGAATTTTTCAGCAAAGAACAGCATATTTGAGAGTATGCTTTATGTGTGCATGTGTATACATATAGTCATGTCTAGAGCGAAAGAGCAATATCCAGGAACACGAAGAAAACTGTGTGATGGAAAACAACTGCAGATATGTCCCAATAAAGCCTACCTGTTGTGTGACGTCTTGATGCTCTTTGTTTTCCAGCGAACACAGCAGCACTGTAAGCCAAAATTGTTTGCGCTCTCCTCCACCACCTTTAAAACTGGAGCTTCTGGCTCCTCGGTCACACTTGCATGGGTATTGGAAGTGTTTATTCAGTGGCAAGCTCTCTTCCCTGGGCTTTGTGGTACACAGAAACTTTGCCAACAGTTCTTATCCATCTTAGTTGGTCTATTCCATTCACCAAGAATGAGCAAGAGTAGAGTATTTCAGTTGGGAGGAACCTACAATAATCTTTGAGTCCGACTGTCTGACTGCCTCAGGGCTGACCAAAAGCTAAAGGGTGTTATTAAGGACATTGCCCAAACACATTTTGAACACCCACAGGCTTGAGGCATTGACCACCTCTCTAGGAAGCCTGTTCCAGTGTTTGACCACCCTCCCAGTAAAAAAATGCCTTCTAATGTCCAGTTTACACCTCTCCTGTGCAGCTTTGAACCATTCCTACACATCCTGTCGCTGTATCCCAGGGAGAAGAGCTCAGCTCTCAGAGGGAGAGCTCCCTCTCCCCATCCTCTCCTCAGGAAGCTGTAGAGAGCAATGAGGTCACCCCTCAGCCTCTTTTCCTCCAAGCCAGACAAGCCCAAAGTCCTTGCCTGCTCCTAATGGGACATGTCTTCCAGCCCTTTCACCAGCTTTGCTGCCCTCCTCTGGACACGTTCAAGGACCTTTGCATCCATCTTAAAAGGTGGGGCCCAGAACTGCACACAACACTCAAGGTGAGTGCTCAATGAATTTCACAAAATTTTTAGAGTTGGAAGGGACCATAGAGATCATCTAGTCCAACTCCCCTGCTAAAGCAGGACCACCCAGAGCTTGTCAGAGCATGTTACTCAGGACTGCATCCAGGCGGGTCTTGAAAATCTCCAAAGAAGGTTGCACCAAAGCTGAACACAGTGGGATAATCACCTCTGTTGATGGGCCGATGATGCTGTGTTAGATCACAGAATCTTCTAGGTTGGAAGGGACCTTAAAGATCATCTTGTCCAACCGTCAACCTAACTGACAAAAATAGACACCCGCATAACCAACAGAAAGCAACACCATCACTAAACCATACCTCCCAGCACTTTATCAACCTGTCTTTTGAACACCTCCAGGGATGGTGCCTCAACCACCTCCCTGGGCAGCCCATTCCAATGCTTGATAACCCTTTCAGTGAAAAAAATCTTCCACCAAATTTTTCCACCGAAGATGCCCCCCAGGATGGGGTTTGCCCTCTTGGCTTCCAGGGCCCACTGCTGGCTCGTATTGAGCCTGCTGCCGGCCGGCACCCCCAGGTGCCCCTAGTGCTCTCCATCCACCCCTCTCCCAGTTCACACTTGTGCTCAGTGTTACTCCACCCCAGGGGCAGAGTCTGCCATTTGCACTTGATAATTTTCAGCCCGTTAATCACTGCCCAGAGCTCAGCCTATGCAGATCCCTCTGCGAGGCCTTGTGCTCATGGACAGGAAAGAGCCCGTTCTTGGCAACTGTGATTCTAGAAGCAGTGATTCTGTTCTTTACACACACCCAAGACAGAAAAACCTGTGCAGTGAGAACAAGAATACTCTGGTAGGAGGCCATCATGGTAAGCTGGACACGGGAGAAATGCTTTAGCAGCAGATCTGGACGTTCGGCACACACAGGACACACCATCCTCCTAGTGCTTGTACTGACAGCCACGCACTGCACACCACAGACCAGTAGTGAGACCCAGGTGTGGAGACGGGCAGTGGAGAGAGTGGGCTGTGAGGTGCCCTCGGTGTGAGGAGAAGGGAGCAGCGTGTGAGCAGGACCCCGGGGGGAAGCCACCAGCAGCGGAGGGTCTGCTGCTGCAGCAGCAGATGGCAACGCTTGAGCAGCACCGCAAGTGACACGCTGCAGGAGGATGAGGAGGCACAACACCATTCACAGACCTGTCACACTGTTACCTGTGACTGAGAGGGCTGGATATCCCAAGGCAGGCAGCTGCTGGTTAGCTGCATTGACCAAAACCAGCAGGAGACTAGGAAGAGTAAGTTTCTGCTGGAAGCTTGAGGCCCCTTTTCCACGATGGTCTCACAATAATTGCCTCAAGCAATTTAACAGCTGTCGGGGAAGACAATATTCTTTGCCTTGAAAGGAAAAAGTAAACTTGGATGGAATTAGGATCAAGCTCCAAATTAGGGCAGATTCACAAAAGCTCAAACCATGCTGCTGTGAGACTTTCTCCAAGGCAGCTCGTGCGTTGCCAGGTTGTGCATCCCTCACCTGATCTTCTGTATCACTACTGCACCTTCGCTTTTGGTACAGTTCCAGCCCACTATCAGTACTGCCACACAGCGTCAGTTTGGTGACAGCAGTTATTTACCAGTTGTACAAATACTCTGAAAGAAGTAACCCGAGTGTGAGAGAAAGCAGATGGATCACAGTCCTTAAGAACAAACTGAATTCCATGTAAAATACAAATACAGTTTAAATAAGCCCACAATTACTAAATTAGTAATTCCAGATCGGAATCCCCAAGTACAAAGTGAAGAAAAATTTTAGTTTAAGTTTGTTTATTGTGATAACATTGTTCTGAACATCAATAAACATTGCACTGAAGTGTGGGTTACTGTACCCAAGATAGTCCAGTCTTAACAAAAACCACTGTATTGGTATGATCACAGATTTGACAATTTTAAACACACTACCTTATTAGTGATTGAGTTGCTTAACAATCAAGTATTCCACATCTTTAACATAAAAATGAAACAAATGATTGAAGAGAGTTTTCCCACCCTCAAAATAAACCAACATTTCAACTTTCATCTGGAAGTAATTAACACTGTAAAAAATAGCCCAAACAATTCCATTCTATTCAGCAGGATTTACCTTCGGAAACTAAAACTTCTTCAGGCAAAAGTGACACTTTAAAGGCATCTCAAATTCACTATGTATTTTTGATGTTTCACTATGAATTTGCGTTACAGTCATTTAAACAACTCTCATTCGTATGACGGCATTTTCTAGAAGACTTGTATGAAATATTAACATGAAATCTCATCTCTCATGTCTTTACCATAAGTGGATTCAGAGTTTCCTTCAGAAGTTCCATAATGGAGTTGACACAAGTGTTAAAACTTTTCCAGTTGAAAAAGAAAAAGAAGTTTTAAAAGGAGTATACTGATGACAAGAAGCCAAGGGTACTTGAGCCAAGATTGCACATGCAATTGTATACTCTTAGGGATGAGAGCCCAACCTTTTGAAGTACAAACATGCTTGGTACAGTTAAAAGGAAAAAAAAAAATAATCCAGAAATGTGTACCACTGAAGTTACTGATCTTTAAATCATTATTGAAATGGGCAATGTCCAAGTCACTAACAAGTTTTGAATTGCAATGTTCCACATTTATTCCCGGATAGGTATGGTTGACTCAGCCTTTGACACGGTTCCAACGCTAAGAGGATCTGCATCTTCAACAACACAGTCTTAACAGGGGTGTGCGTGTGCCTACAGACACACACACTTAGAAGTTCCTCTTTCACAGAAAGAATGATTCAGCTTGCGCTAATTTTAAATAAGTACAGCACAACTTGTTCTCAAACATTAGTTTCAGGCCACTTCTCTCGACAAAGGTACCAAAGGACAGGCTAATGCATAATTCTTATTTACCCCACTTCATATTAATATTGCAGCACAAGCCCACAGTTTGATAGTAACGAGATGTCTTTTCTAGAGTCAGTAAAGTGCCCAGCAGCCCAAATCACATAGGTACATGATGGCAGGTGCAGCGCCCCCGTAGTCTGTCCCTAAGGAGGGTTAGCAACCAATCTGAATAGCTTGAAATACCAGCCAGATTTAGAAAAACAAAACAAAACCCCTGCCCGACTCATATCAGAAATACTCAAGAACACTTTTACATTTTATCAAAAAACAAATATCAAAAGTGTAGCTGTTACTGAGCAAAAAAGCAAAATTTTTAACTAAGCAACTTTTTGGACATCCCTATAATGCGAAGTGACAGATTAGCAGAATGAGGAGCTCTCTAACCACACGGCTCCCATATTCTAATTCAAACCAGCTGAAACTATATGCATCTGGAGGTATACCTGATACTATTTTTCCACACTGCTCATTTATTCAAGTCCCCTCCTTTAATTCCACAGCTTATCTTTATGACAATCTAAAAAGATGAATGGAAGCGAAGAAAAAAAATTAACCAAGTAAAAAAGTCAACCAAGAAAGATACAGCCAGACCTTGGTAACAACCTGCCCTATTTGGAAACCCATCCCGGTTTCATAAAGTGAATAGTTGGGGTTTTTTTAGCAAACCTGTGCAACACCAGGGCCACTAGGAATAAATTATGAGAATTTTGACATCCACAAAGGATTGTTTTAGGAGAGGCAGCTTCACTCCCTTTATGTAAAATAGAATCTTTAGCTAGAAATTTTCATCTTGTAATTAAAATATTTTATTTTGTTGGATTCTTATTTATTAAAAGCTCAAATCCCATTGATATTCAAAGCACTTGGTGATCATGAAAATTTCAGTTTCTAATGAAATCTATGGAATAAAAGGTAAGAAAAGGGAAAAAAAAACGGAATGATGTTTGTAAGCTTCTGAGAAAAAAAAGAAAAAAGCAGCAAGAGCAACATATCCTTTGAGTTGAATCCTGTGAAACCCATGTAAACACCGAGCAGATTGGTGACAGGACCAAGAATTTGCTGCAAGTCACATAAAGTGTTTTTCTCACTGTCCAAGAAGAAGGATGCCTTCCAATTCACTGAGGTGCACGGCACACCCTGACAGATGGGTGTGTTTTCTTTCCACTCTCACACTACTGCTTTGAAACAGAGGTTCCAAGGTGACTTTGCTTGTCCCCACTCTTTATATAATGTTCTATAAACACAGGAATACACTAGAGTTTTACAAAGGGAGGGGAAAAAAAAGTAATTTCATTTATATAGTGATCTAAAAATTATCCCCCCAAGCAGTTCACCAGTTGTCTAGTGTCAGCTGGTGGTACTTCAGCACTGTGGGTTAACGCTACTCAGTCTGAGAGAGGAAAGAAAGCATTCCTGGGGTGAAGGGGTGGGGGCAAAATCTTCTAAATGTCCTCTTCTGCAGGTAGTGAAACAAAAAGAGCTCCTTTCCTACATTCAGCCTAGGTAAGATGGAGCAGAAGGGCTGGCCCAAGCTGTTCCTGAGACAAGCATCCCTGGTGCAGGCACCGCAGCAAGGAGCAAACACCTTCAGTAAAGACCTTCTAAAGATCACTCACACTTCCCTGCTCCCACTGGGAGCTGTGCACGGGGCTGGGCTCACCCCGGAGCCTGGTGGAAATTCTGGACATTGCCCCTGGAAGGATCTTCAATGGTCCCAGGAACTTGCTTAAGGAGTGACAGAAAAGACTCTGTGCCCAGAAAGCCCAGTATTCATGTTTAAACAACTATAGTCCTTAAGCCCTCTGGGCTGGTGGTAGGATACATTCTCACCACAGATCTGTCTGAAGGAGGTTAAATGCACTAACTCAACCTAAAAAGCAGAGCTACCTTTGCCCTGAAGTATTTTTGGAGAGAGAAATACTGCTTTTACAGCTGATAAATACTAGATTCGGAATGCAATTTGTTCGCAGGCTCTGATCTGAACCCGAGGAATAACCAGCATGATGCTTATGAATAACCCAAAACTGAAAAAAAAAAAAAAGAAAAAAAAAAGGTCGTCTTCTGCTCTGCAGCATTTAACCATTTTCATACCTGGAATCTTACTATTCAGCTGCATTTCCTTCCAGCTACTGAAAACCTACAATATGGAATTCTGGAAAGACCTGCAGTAGACAATTAAAAAAATTAAATACATAATTTTTTCAGTATTACAATTCCCTGAATATAATCTGTACATACGTTTTACTGGCCTACACAGGATACACACACGTATGCATCATCTCTGTGTTCAAAATAGAAATAAAAATGCCAGCTCCCTAACTCTTACAGAAATGTTCAAGATTTTTCTCGATGGAGATTCAACATGACATAGTGCAGCCTGAAAACAACAAAAGCCATACAAGTATCTGAAGACAACTTTCATTTTAACAAGCTCATGAAATAGAGTAAGCATTTCATGTAAAAAAAAGTAATAAGCAGAGTTAGCTTTGAGTGTGAATTGTACAAGCACAGTCTTGTACACGTGACAAAAGGCATATTTACATTTAAGGAGGGATTTTATGTCTTCAGAGTCCGTCAGGCTAAGTAACGTTGACACATTTCCTGTACTTTAGCGAAGAAAGAGCACACTGGTCTTAAGTTCCGGCTCCTTTCAAAAATGGCCTAATTGCCCATCTGAACATTAGACCACGTTTCTTATTAATAGGTCTGACATTCTATTTGGCAGTTTCCATACGCTTTTTTTGGCTTCATTTTAGAAAATATACTATTAAGACTAATAAAAAAAAAAATATTCTATGTTTACAATAAGGTCTGTATTGATGAAAATGCAAAGTCATAGCTTACTTCAGCATTTAGTTGCCCTGAAGCACTTGGGTACCATGACCATCAATGACAGGCCAATCTCAAGTGCCTTAGAACAGGTATATAAAGACAAGCAATAAAGAAACAAACAAACAAACAAAAATAACCCCCCCACAAAAAAAATAGACAGTAACTTTGCATTTTCTTTGCTTTAAACCAACAGAGTTAAAGTGATTTTTTTAGTAAGACTTATGGTACCAATATATAAATTAGCATCTTTGTTAAGAAAGTTCTTCACATTTAAACTGAAGTTGAGTTGCTGAATACGAAATTCCATCTCGAAGCGAGAAGTATTTTTCAGGCCAGGTCATCCATGTTAAGGTCAGGAAGAGGCTCTCTCCAGTAGCAAAAGGAGCTGAATTCTGGGCATGGAAATGCAGAATTCCGTTCTTTATTAAGCAACGGGAACACATGTTCTACAAGCTCACTTAGTCTGTAATACCTATATTAAGAAAGAAGAAAGACCATTATTTACAGTCTAGTCACTGTTCAACCGTAGCCAAAAAGGAGCTTTAGAAGTCTAGACCAGAAAGCTTTAGTCAAATAAGCCATCACTACTGCAGAAGCAATTGCAATTTTATTTCTACAATTTTCTTTTTGAAAAGTTTCAGTTAAGTATCCAAATCTTTAAGTCTGGCAAATAAGATTTTCACATGTTGTATGTAACAGGAGATCAAATCATGGTCACAACTGCAATTATTTTGTAATCTCATTCCTAAATACTTTCTTAAGCTGAAATAACAAAAATGATCTTACGAAGATTTGTTTCCCTTAGTCCGTTCTTGGATCAGTTCACCCTTTGGATTCACAGTAAATATTCTGCAGTCTGGAACTCCCACTTGCATGTAGGCATATACATCCTGCAAAAAGCATGAACAAAAACACATGCTTCAACATTTCCTTATTGAACATGATAGAATAAACAATTTCTTGAAGATTGATCCAAAAAAGGTACAGTAAAACTGACTTAAAAAAAAATAATCCCCTAAACAGCCAAAAAACAAAACAGAAAATTACCCAAACCCATATACACACCATAACAAAACATTCCTCCTGCCCCCAACCCCTTAATTCCTGTTCCCATGCCTGGGACCACAAACACGCACAAAATCTATACCATTTCTTGTGAGAATATTCCTCTTAGTATACCCTCCCTCTCTCTCTCTAGCCCAATTATGATAGCATTGATCTACAGAGCAAATACAGGAACTGTACAATAGGAAAAAGGGTTCAAGACTGAGAAGCACTGAATTAATATCCTTAGGTTATAAAGCTATCAAAAATGCTGAAAAAGAATATGCAAAGGTGGAACATATTTAATAAAATCCTGAGAATACTAACACAACTTTATAACCTTCTTTTATATAAGGAGTTCTTGTACCTCTTATTTAAAGTATCTACATGTGGGTTTTCTTGACCAAACTCATAAAAGCACCAGTGTCCCATTTCCTTATTCAAATTCAAACAGACACAAAAAGAAAAGCCTATTTCCTTTGCTTCCCAAGTATTTCATGCATTTTAACCCTTTAATTAGAAAGGGGCAGACTTACATTGGGCCTGTTTCCAAAAGCAGCATAGAAAGGCTGTTTACTGGGAGCAAACAAATTCTTGATATCATTCAAACACTCGATTTTGAACTTTTCAGGCTTCTTTTCTATTACTTCCCTAAAATAAAATTTCAACAGTCAAATTCTAAATCAGGATTTGATAAAGGGTATCCTCCTTTCCCCATTTATCTGTTATTTACATTCCCATTGCTTCCTGTTGCTAGCATTGGTAATTATATAGACATTGGTGAGTAGTTTTCCAAAATGATGCAAGAGACAATAAAACATTCTCTGTTTTCCAACATCCATAGTAAAAGATAGGTGAATAACCTACGCCTATGCTAAGTAAATAACTGGATGAAATTCCCAGTTGTGAATGCAGTTTGTGAACTGCTTTTATTTAGATGACCAAATCAAGTACACAAAAACTTGTTAGAACTCCTGCCCCTGACAAAGAGTGCAGAAGGTCTATTAGTGATCTTAATGGAAGCTGCCGTCATTGCTAGCCATGGAGCAAGTTGCTTTTACTAAAAAAATAAGCAAAACTAAAAAGATTTTTCCACTATTAGCTCTTCCCATCAAGAACAGGCAGACTGGCTGGTTCAAAAGATCAATGGAGTTGAACCATAACTTAACTCCATATTGTTTTTGAAGTAGCCATGTAAGGAGCACTCCCAATCTCTCAAGATCACTTAGTATCATTTAGTCTGTGTTCCCCAGCTTTTTTTCTTTTCCCTCTATGCTGTGTAGTAGCGCTGCACTACGATCCTTGCAGCTATACCTGAAAAGACAGAATTGTACTAGTATAAACAACCTATTAGTGATCAGTCACGGACTAGGGGAATGAAGAAAATGGAAAATGAGCTGCTGTGACTGACGCCACTTCTCACACGCCTGCAGAAACACAAGCATGCTGCAAGTGAAATCTGAACAAAACAAATAGCTTATAGATGATCACTAGAGGTACATCAAGTCTCAGCACCCAGCAGAACGTTTGGTTACAGCTGTAACGATTAACATGTCAAATCTTTATAATCTGCTTCTTTCTCTGAGATGGAGAAGAAACAGATGTATGAAACCCCAGTGCTTACCTATGAAAGGCAGAAAACAAACTGCTGGGGGACAACATGAGAGGGCCCCTGGGGAGAATTGTTCCTTTGTCATTCACCCAGTGTAGGTATCCTCTGGTTATATCTGCCATCCCAATGGCACGGGCAGAACAGTACAGAAATTTGTAGCCGTTTCTACAAAAGAATTACCAAGTTAGTTCATATTCCTGCTGAAGACTTTCTTTGCCAACGTAAGTATGTGGTTATAGCAATGTCCAGAGGCCCCAGTCTAGGTACTGACTCGTGGCAGTGCGCTGCATAAACACATAGGAAAAGACTGTTCCAGTGGTAAAAAAAAGTCTGCAAGGCATATAATAGCTTACATACATGATTCACTCAAAACTGAGAAACAGGAGGTACAAAAAGAACAGGGATTGCAATACTAAGGTGACAATTAGATAGGCTAGATTTTGTTTAAATAAGTGCCACACCGGTTTATCCAGCTTCTTTCACACCAGCTGTAGTGACAGCAATTACTTAAATTATCTGCATCACATAATATTGGATGCCAGATCTCCTCTCTTGCTGTGTGTATTTTTCAGGTTGTTGTTGGAATTCACAGTGCAGAGTGAAGGACGGATAACAAGAAGCATTCATCAAGCACCTAAGTTTTTCCTGCAGACTTTGTAGGTTCATCTGTTGTACAGACTTATACACAGCTATTGCATGCACAAAAGGCTTAAGCATTCATGTGCATTTTCAAAGACCTGATTCAGTTTGGCAAATAATTCCAAAACAACTGGAATTATTCTTCTACGATTCACTGAATACAAGTTCAAGTTATCTCCCATGGACTGCAAGGGGCCACAGATAAAATTTAGCCACAGTGTGAAGGTCAACAACGGATTCTAAGACCCCAAATATTTTTGGGGAAAGAAAGACTACTAAACTTAAAAACAAAGATAAAAGTAGATTATTTTAAGTGAATCATGAAGTGTTTAACAGTTATCATCCTAAGATCCTCCTCAGTAGCAAGTATTATTTTTGGCATCACTTTTGAACTAAGCAAACACCTCACTGCTATTGCAAGGGGGAAGGCACACGGGCTGGCTCTGCAGGTTCTTTCAGGTCCCAAGGTGAGCATGTTCAGTTGACTCACCCAGAGAGGGGAAGGGTGATTATGATTAATTACTTTTCTACTATTTCGCTGAACTGCATTGGCTTATGTCAGCAGCACAACAAAGTGACAGCCAAGTGAGCCAAGCCACCAGCCTTCTTTTTGTGGCAGTGGCAAGTTGTTTATTTGGCTTGTTTCAGAACATGAAATCTAACCTCAGGAACACTCACTTGAGTTTGGCAGCAAACACATCAAACCACAAAATATTTATCCATTGGAAGGACACAACTGGGTTTGAGTTTACATTGTACCATATTTGTAATAGGCTTTGTGATCAACCTGAGTTGGTGGAAAAAGACATACACATGACTGTTTGAAACTATTGCTACTATGGTTCTCTTGTAGCCACAACAATATTACCCACTGTTTTTAAGAATTAAAATGCAAAATCAAACATTTGAGAAGAAAGAGAACTAGTGAAAGTGGGGGCTTCCATTCCTGTAAAAGCATACATCTGGGAAAGCAACTTAGTTTTGTTTGTGGATGACAGAAATAGCTCACTTCCCAACATTTAGACAAACAAGTTGTACTAAACTGCATAATTATTAACAACAATCCAATTACCTGCCAGTTAATTCACAAATTCCAGAAAACCCTAATTGCTTCATAGATTACATACTCACTCATTTATGGAATGATAGAGTTTTGCAATGCCCTGATGAGTCCAGTCCTTGCCAAACTGAGGGAGGATATGTCCTAAAGCATCAGACCTAAAAGCAAAGAGATAGCTGATACCAAGTATACTAATTTGGTTAAAGACAACCACTAATGAACATACAATTTATAATGAGTATTTACAGAAGAAGTATCTCTGCAGAAGGTCCTAACGATTTCAAAAGAGAGTAACTACTCCAGACAGAGCAATTAGTACAGCACGCAAGTCAGTTTCCAAGTTAACCTATGGCTGCTAAACCTAGAGAAGTCTAACTGAAAGGACAATAGTCACATGGTAATTATTATCAACTTTGCATTATTCTTTTAAAAGACATTTTCCAGCTTGCTGTACATGCAAATCCAAATTAAAATCAAATCAATAAGTTTTTTCATGTTAATGAACATTAAGTGTCTTCCTGAATGTAATTTCTTCATCTTATTTTGAAAAGCAGGATCAATAAAGCAAGACACAAAAAAAAAATCAAAGAAAAGAAAAAAACCCAATGATACTTACTTTGTTATTGTTCCATCAATGTCCGATATGATGATTTTATCATTCCAGTTCCAGAGATATATTGTTCCTTCACAACGGCAAGTCCCTTGATACTGGGTTGTAATACTAAATACGACATCATTGGGGCCATCTCTGAGCTTCAACTTTGCCTTTGGAATAAAACAAAATAATTGAAAATAAAAGTTGCCCTCATTATAAAGTTTTTTAGAATCATAAATGAGCTACAGAAAATGGCTCATATATTCTTCCTCATCTATTTTGATTAACTCATCAAGAAGTGAATCATGGTTTAACAGTGACAGTTTTGCTGGCAAAGTCTGTTTTGTAGCCTGGGTACATGCATTTGTCCATAAATCCCATATTTGCTTACAGCAGCAGATAATCTGACTCTCTGCTACTTTAATTCTTGCAGTTACAGTAGACTTACAGTACTGATAAAAGGAACTCCCTGTTTGCTATAGTGAGAAACAGCACTTCCTACTTAGTGGGTGCCTTTCTCAAAATTCTTCCCTGATGAATGAAGATAATACATTTAGGCAGCAGCAGAACTAACTTGTAAGTCAGAAGACAATGAATAAACTGCATACCAATTTAAACGTGCATTAGTACACTGTTCAGATCCCAGGATATCAAAATTGCCAAAGCCCATGATGCCATTTTTTTTTGGCAACATATTAATATAGAAGTTTGATTATAGAGCTTTGTAAGAAATTATTATTTTTTAATCCAAAACCACATTATTAAAAAACAGAAAACAAAATATCAAAAATTCCCTGCAGCTGCCCACACTAGCACAGGAAAATACTTTAAATTTTTTTTTAAATTTTAAATTTCCCCATTCTTTTCTGCTACTGCTAGAAAAGTAACCCAATGATAATTTTTTACTTTGTGAAATGTATTTATATGTTGCTTCTCAAAAGTGGGAAAAGTGCAACTCTTAGAATCAGAGTAGAATTATGAAGCATCCTATCTACAAGAAAGGCATGCCACTTACTATTTGGTCCGAAGACAGTCTAAGTGACTTCTTATAAGATGTAATGTTTCCATGGGTTGGATGCTCTACTGGGGAAGAATCTATTTTCAGTGATTCCTTCAACTCCTGTGATGCTTCATCACTAGAAGAATCATCTTCTGGAGGTCTAACATGATATCAACGAGAATAAATGTAAGCTACAGAAAATCTTTCTTTGATGGTGTAAGATTCCTACACAAGAGTCATTTCTGCTTGAGGATTTGCTACTCGTCTGATAGCCCAGATTAACAAAGTCCATGGTCTAGTGAATGCCCAGATAAAGCTACTATGTGCCAATAAGCAAGTAAGACTTGTAACACATGCTAGTACTGGTGGAGCTCTAAACATTACTATTACTAGCTGGCTCCACACACGATGGGTTTAGTAAAGACACAGTGTCAAGGGGTCACTAATACTGTGTTGATGAATTAAGAAAACTGCACGCGAAAAGGGATACTGAATGAGTAAAGGGTTTGTTTGTTTTTTTTTTAAAAAAAAGCTGCCACAGTTACTAGGTAATTTAGACGGTGGGTGATAAGTTAGTGGAGTAGCTCACCTTTTAAGGTTATTCAGACTTATTTTTCTGCTAATTAGAGATTTAAAGATTAAAAGCAGCATTTAATTTCTCTGAAGTATTCAAGCACAATATATTTAGTTTTTTAAATCTTTAAGATAGCAACAACATTTACAGGTACCTTTGTAAAATCATGGAAGAATATGAAAATGCATAAAAATTACCTAGACTGTACTACATAAAAATTACCCAGTTTTGTGCTAAATACTGCTAGTTTTCAACCACAATCTTGGGCAACTTGTGCACTGTAATTAATACTATTTTATTTTTTCAATTATTTAACGTTACAAAAAGTTGCACATTGTTTAAATTATTCATACAGTATTAGGCTTTTACACAAAAAAAAAAAGAGAAAAAGAATGACAAACAGTATCTCAGAAACAATACCACTATATTTACAGAATAGTGGCCCATCGCTAAAGGTTACCATATATGTCTTTGTTGTTCTGTCAGTTATGTTACGATTTAAGAAGTAAACACAATAGGATTTAGGAAACAATTGTAGTGTATTTGTAGCTCCTACAATGTTTGCTGCTACATTATTTTACTGAATTGTTTGCTAAACACATCTGGTTCCTCTTCAGTAGCTTAGAGGAAAATGTTTCTTCCCACAGTACATTTCTACTGAATTCCTCATTTGAAGGGGGACGGGGGGAAAGACACTATTCAGTCCACAAAACAGTCTTCAGGCAGGAACACACCTACTATTAACTTGCTCTTTTATAGTTGCTGGCAGTTCATTTGCTCTTGGTGTCTCGGTTTTCCCCTCCTTTGCCTCCGGTATCTAAAGCAACATGATAATAAAAAAACATATCGACATTTTAAGCATTTTAAACTGATCCAAGTGAAATCACAGTTCACACACGAATAGCTATCCATATAGTACATAAAGCATATTAAGTCTCAGAATCACTCATTCTATAAATTATTTAACAAAAGGATGCTTATGAAGAAATGATCCATTAAAGCTCTTTATTATTTCAGGAAACAAAACTGCATGCCAGAAGTTGAGAATTGCTAGTTTAACATCCATGAATTTAGCATTAAAGGAGTTGTCAACCTCTAAGCTTGTAAAATACACTGAGAAGTAAATTTAATTTAAATAAGCTTTCTAAACCTTTAGCATGTACCTTAGTCTAAAATTGGGTGTTTCAGTATAACATCTATTATGCAGCACTGCAGCTACTTATTTGTGTATATATTCCTAAAACATACTGCAGTGACTGAAGAGTAGCTCTGACAACCACTTATGGCTTAGGAGAAAGAATTTTAAGAATATTGTATAACATCTGAATACAATAAATTTTGGTGAAGCCAATAGTAACAGCCAATAAAGATGTAGTATTTAAGACTATAACAGCTACAGCTACTGCTACTGCAACACTGAGTAACTCAGCTGACAATCAGTGGCAGAGAGCTTTATGAGCAGCGTTCTGAGGCACTACTGAAAAATTACAATTGTTTTTTCATCTTTTACCAGCAAAGCAAAGGAAAAAAAAATAAATAATCAAAATAAGTCTCAGTTACCTGTTTAGTCATGCTTTCTCTCTTGCGCCAGAACCACCACCTTCCGGATTTCTTTGGCATCTTTTCTTTGACCCAAGACTCGACAGTAGCCTGAAAGATTTGGCAGGTTTTAAATTTGTATAGAAAACAAAATAAAGAGATAATGATGTGTTACTACACACAAAATCTTCAAAAAAGTATAGATATATCTATTTACCTTAGGCAAACTCTTCTGAAACACCTGCAAACTCAGAATCATTGGAGCAGCCAACGCCCAGTTATAATACCTGTTTTAAAACATATTATTGATAAGGTATTACAAAACCTGACTATAGGTCAATATATATCAGTGTGCAAACTGCCCTTTGGTTGATTAAAATATATACTTGCTCCCAACAATTAAAGTTTTCTGCAAGCAGACGTATTTTAACATATACAATTCAACATCAGTGATAATTGCTTGAAAAAAAAATCTCACTTTGGTTAAAGCTATATTTAATGCAAATCTTCAGTTCAAAATTATACTCTGGGACTTAGAAACAGATCCATTGAAAACACAAATTGCAATGGACGCTGAAAAATGCACTCTCTTTAAAGGGCAGATTTCAAATGAGATCTTCTATGACCCAATTACACAATATAGAGAATTTACCTGTTATAAATCCTTATTACCAAATTAGGATTGTCTATGAGTCCAGGGTTTTCAGCAAATTCATGATAAGTAATAATATGTTCCATGAACTTTTCTGCAATAGAAGCAGATTTTAATTAAAAATATTAATATAGAATCCCAACATGGCTGATTAGTTTGTATCTAGGAAAATGCTTTCTATCATTTCAGAGTCTTTGCTGATCTTGCAAGATCACTGAAGATATGCTAATATGGCCCACCTCTGAAGAGTCTTGTGACTGCCTCCTCAGCAATAGGGAAAGCCTCGTACCACTTCAAGAGCCACAGTAATGAGAATTAAGAAATTAGAACAAAGATGATAAGGAGGAGGAGGAACTAATTGAGTTCACAGGCTGAAAAAAGAGATCCATGCTTGTCTAAGCAAGTTTTCTTTAAAAATTATTATGGCAGGTAAGGATACACTACAGGAGAAGGATGTCGTCAGCTTTTCAGGTGTGTTTAATCACTGAATACTAATAGCATTTGCATGACGAGTGACTGTACAAGTTTGCAGAAATTCATGATTTAGTGTAAAACCCCTGCAAGGAAGTCATAATTTTTTCACATCAAATCAGTATTACTACCAACATTACCAAGAGAGGTGTTTTGAGCCTTTATTAGTAAGCATGCAAATTTCACTTGATGCAGCAGAGATTGGATGACCATAAAAATGTAATGCTAAAAATGTTGCAGAACATGTTTATGAAGATTATGTGCTCCTAGAAGCTCCCTCATAAATGCATATAGCTTTGATATTAAAATTAACCAGATCATTAAGAGAGAAGAACCAGCTGGTAAAAATCTAAAGGTTAACATTTAGGACAGGAAAAGTAGAGCAGGAAAAAATATGGTCCAACACAGTAGTCAACGTTTTTTTAATCACTTAAAAAAAAAACCACCCAAACCCAAAAAAACCTCCCAAACCAACTAAAAAAGAAGAAAAATTGCCAGGTAAATTGGAAAGAATATGACTTGTGAAATTTATATAGGACTAAGCAAGTAACTGCAGCCAGAAACAAGAATGGTTGGGCAGATAGGGAATACGTAGTGCAAAAAATGAGATGGAAAGCTTCTCAAGACATCAAGTGCTCTTGGTTAATTTGAGGTTAAATTCTGCTATCTCTGCTTGGCAAATGCTTGAAAATTTTAGAAAATGAAAGATTATCTATTCCCTTATCTCAACATGAATATAATAAGAAGCCAAAGCTTTGCAAGGTGGAAATTAGAGCTTTCAAGCCACTTCATTTGTCAAGCTGCCTGAGCTTTATTACTGTTTATGTTTTAGTCATTCACATACCTTTAGAAATCTCTCCATTTTCATTGAGACCTCCACAAAGTGAAAGTGTAACATCAGGCAAGTCCATAGCAGAATCAGACATGCACTCTGTACCGCTGTCAGCAGCAGCACTTCCTACTGACTGGGGTGACTGGGAACCGGAAAGGTTATCCGACTCTGTCCACTGCCTGAAGCCCGGATCAGAATCACTAAGAAAAGAAGCCCACATTTGCCGTGAGTATTTCACTTGCAAAAAAAATAATAAATAAATCATTTTGCCCTTGCATTTCTTTACTACATCATTTTACAATGAAAATTTAAAACCAACTGCGAAAGATGCACATTCATCCACAACACCAACCAACCAAAAACCAGACACAAACACACACTCCCAACCATTCCTAATAATGGCAGATCAACAGTTTCCAGTTCTCCTAACATTCACCTAAATTGGGAAATAATTGCATTTCTCTTCCTTGCAGCAAAATTGGATTTAAACAAGGAAAATATCCTCTACATTCTGTTTTTGCAGATCAGTACTGTGCTCCTCAATCTTTACCAGAAAGCTGTACAATAAGAATAAAATGAAATTGCCTGATGTTTTTACAATACTTCTTTTGGAAAAAGTACAATAGAAAAGAAAGGTGGCCTTTTAAATAAAAAGTATCACATTGTCATCTAAGGTCAGAGTTATTAGTTTGATCCCAAGTAATGTAATCAGCAAGTATTGAAAAGTTTACTACTTTAGTTTTAACATGAACCAATAAGCACCTCTTCGTTATGAAGCTGTATTTTTACCAAGGTCTTCCTAGACAGTTACTCTTTTGCAGAGTATTGCAGGAGTAAAAAAATCCTTTGATTTCATAAAAAGCCCGAATAAGAGTGAATTTTGAGACTGAGCCGCCTTGCCTCATTTTTTTTTTTTGGTTGGTCCTTTTTAATATTAAAAAAAAGTTGTAGGGGATCTACAGGGCATTCAAAAAATAAATTGATGTGTGCTTTTCTAGAGCTAGCAATATGGCAAAATAGAGTGCTGGTGCAAAAGGTGTGTGCAGCTTAAACTTATCCCCCCTTTATATTTGTAGAACATACAAGTTCCACAAAGATGGCAACTCTCAGTAACGACCTCCCACGTGATCTTTCAATGCGTTTCTTGTCAAATCAGAAATAGATTCTCACAATGAGATCATTACTGATCAGTACTCCGCAAAAGCCTAGAAACCTCAAGTCCAATTCTTTTTATCAGAACTGGAGCATAAACACCTAAATCATACATGTAGCAACTCACATATCACAACTGCAATACAACCCCAGATCCACAGAACCAGTATGTAAAATTACCTTTTGGGAAAGTAGAGTGCTGCAACTTCAGGTTCCAATGCTTTTAGGTCCTCCAAGTAAATATCGTCAGGCCCCTGATGATGACTTCGCTTGTGCACCCCTGTTAATTTTAACAATTAAGATTACTAAAATGAAGCTATCCAAACACATTAAATACAAATATAATTGTGGAGAATTCACACTTACTTGTGGCATTTATAAATCCAAGAGTTTAATTATAGTTTTAGTCAGATAACACTTTAATAGCAAAAATTGAAAAGACATATTAATACTTTTTCCACTATGGCCTCGAATTTGGTAGATGACACAAAAGGAAAGAATCAAAAGCTTTATTACATACCTTTCTTTTTTGAAGGAGAGTCAACTTTTGCTATTGCTTTTGCTTCTGGTAGAGGGTCCACCAACAGTCTGGAATGATGCTCAGCATCTAATGGCAATGGATCTTGTGGTTCTATGATTGCAGAAGCAAGAGAATCTTTAACATCCATCTGCTTAAGCAGAGGATGAGTTCTTGGCTCAGGTTTCAGCACTGTACAGACAGAATCTTTCACATCATCATCATCTTCAACTTCATCAGAGCTGAGGATGACCCTAAAATGCGTCTTCTCTGATGGAGTAATGGTAGCTGTCCTACAATGTTCCAGTTTCTCTTTCTTGCTTATCTGAAAAACAAAACTCTAGTCAATCCTTTCACTTCCCATGTTTGTTTTACTCTAGTCTAAACATTAAAGTCGTGCTCATGGTACAAGTCCTGGTCACAAGTAAACCAGGTAAGAATTTACAAGCATTTTAGCAACATAAAACACGTCCCACCTTATTAGCAAAGTACCCTACAACAGAAGCTTCTTACAATAGCTTATTTACAAGTTCAGTAAAGAAACCGGCATAGAAGAAGTACTAACTTGATCAAACCATGGCAAGAAAAAAAGCATAAAAGTGGATATATCAGGGCTTCTGTCACCAGCTGTCATGTTAGATACTAAATTTACTCTATCAAGGCTACAGTTCCTCTGGAATGAATTAGAACCTAGCCTAAAATAAAGGCAATTAATTCCTAAAGTTGCTTTCTTTGGTTTCTAACCAAAAATTCAAAAATTTCAGATTTTTAGTACTAGGTTTTCTGGAATTACTTTTTGCTGACCAGCTTTTGAACTCAACAAATTCGACTACTGGCCAACCACAAGGGGGTGCTACTTTCCTATTTCAGGTGAATTATTCTAAAGAGCAGCCGCAGATTTCCAATCCTCTCTTAGGACACAATTTTAGATATGCCAAAACTCTGTTCACAAAGTTAGAGACAATAAATATATTTACCTTGGTTGATTCTGGGAATCCTCCCCACGTCCATTCCATGTGAGATTCAGATCTGAGCAAGCTCTCAGCAGGTTTAACTTCTAGTTCTGAATCACTTTTAGGGCAGACTGGCTCAGAGAAAGGGCTAGCAAATCAACAAGAAAAAAAAAAAGAAAAGAAAAAAGAAAGCTACAGTGTTTAAAATGCATCTGTTGTGCAGCTACTGTTGGTAGAGTTTTCTACAGCTTAACAGAGCTTCAATTATTCGGCAACATGGCAAGAAGCCCAGCAGGGTTTTCAGATAGTGAGAAATTAGGTTAAAACCAAAATCACATTAAAGGACTTACATAGCGATCACTCTAACCAGATTCCTCCACAGTATCTGCAGTGTAGGTATAGCTTTCCCCTCAACCCGTGTTCCATTTTTCAAACAAAACAGAACAAACCAAAAAAGTTTATCTAGAAGACACAAATTAGCTTTAAGCATAACATTTGAGCTTGCTATGCCAAGACTTCAGTAATAAAACTCCTGCAAACCTAACTCACAAATGCACAAAACACCACCAATTGGTTGGGGAAAACAAAAAGAACAAGATAACTTAGGAGGGGGAAGGGAGATTACTTGAAAACTTCCTTCAGATGTGTTTGGACTACATGATCTTTTGAAGTTCCAGCCTATTTTTCCTACAGTGGTTATTATCCATAAATCAGAAACAGACCTCTGAAATTTACTGTAGCTGAGACTACTACTTAGCCAGAAGAACTTACTCTACAAAATACTAGCAAGGTGTCATTTCAAAATCATTTTGCTCTTATGATCCCAGGGAGAAAAGGAAACACAAGAGGTTGTTTTGAAGTAGCATTTAGTGTTGGGACAGGTCCAAGTCTATCCTTTCTTGAACAGGGCAATTATATTGCATATTGTAGAAATTACAGTCTTTTTACACTTTGACATTCATAGAGTATTATGGGTTGCTTTTGTTTTGGTTCGGTTTGTTTTTTAAATGCGTATAAAAATCTCAATATTTGAATTTGAATTGTAAGGACCAGAACTGGACACAGCACTCCAGCTGTGGCCTGACCAGTGCTAAGCAGAGTGGGATGGTCACATCTCTATCTCTGCTAGTAATGCCCCAGGGGATGCAGCCCAGGACCCAATTTGCCTTTGTTGCTGCGGCGGTACACTGCTAACTCATATCAGCTGCTTGTCCACCTAGGCCCCCAGGTCCCTTTCAGCAAGGCTCCACCCCAGCCACACAGACCTGAGCCTGTAACCTCTTTGGTTATGCCATTCCAGGTGCAGGACTCAGTACTTGTCTGTGCACTTGTTGCACCAGGAGAGGTTTCACCTTGATATAATAAAGAAATTTTTTACAGTGAGAATAATCATTCACTGGAACAGCCTTCCCAAGGACATGGTCCTCATCGCAAGAGGTTTTCAATTTGTCACTGGACAGGGTGCTAAATTAATCTCATCTAGTCTTCATTTTCCATGAAAGGTTGGACCAGATTATTGTTTGAGGTCACTTTATCCAGGGATACAAAAAGGAAACCATTTAGAGATTTCCTCCCTCGGCTCTCCTTTAACAATTTCCTTTAGAAATTACATTTTCTGTACTGTTAGAAGGGCTTATTTAAAGTAACACGTGGTGAAAATTTTGTTTTCAGGAGGAATATGTACATATTTTCCCTATATGCCAACTAATTTGTTTTGCTTGTATCACAACTCAACTGGAAGCCTTCAGACATATTAACCTGTTTTGAAGCATAATTCTTAATATCCAGCAATAGTTGCAAAAGACTGCATACTTCAGGGCTTTGAGAACCTAATCCTGCTCCACTACTCCCAAAGTAGAAGTTTGCCATTATCATTCTCAGGGAGAAGTCTTTAGTCAAAATGTCCATGCCTGTAATAGTGGTCTAACTCATGCTAACGTCGCTTCTTTAAACAGGAAGAACATTCAAGGTATCAGGTATCAAACAGTTAACGGTTATGATTTTTGGTTTTATTCTAGTGAGTAAGGACAAAAAAATAAGTGTCCTCATTGAAAAGACTGAGGCAATTATCCTCCCTTAGCTGCCTGCAAGGGTTCTGAAGAGCAAGACGACCAACCTCAACTAAAAGATAGTTACCTTTTCCAACCTCGAATTTCTCTTTCATTGTACAACAGCTACATTGTAGGATCTTTGGTGGCTTAGGAGAAATAGTGTCATGCAAAATTTCTCTTCTCCTAGATGGCTCACATG